GCCCCACATCTCCTGACCAGCCTTCTTGGAGCTCATGTTTGAAATAACCCCGCCATCAGACATCTGGGAACTCGTCCTCGCTCCTCCAGTCGATTCAGATGAGAGGGGTCTCTGAGCTATTCAAGTTACATCGCATGGAAAACGACGAACAATCTCAAATATCGTGATACTGAAGTCCCTGAATAGACGTCAAACAACAAACCTCGTGGATACATACCTACCCTCTCCGAAAAACGAACGACAAAATCAAATTACAGAATTAACTACTTTGCTTCAACGACAAACGAAAAGCCAACGAAACCCAAACTACTAACTTCAAACGGGTGAGCAATTAAATAAATGTTGGATTCCACCTCGCTAAAAACACATCACTCCCCTTTATATACATCTAACCCATGAATCAAAGAAAACCAACGCAGAACAAAAAATCAACAACAAAAAACAATCCAATCACTTACCCACTGATACGAAAAAAAAAAACGGCGACGCGAACCAACCCACACAAACCAACTCCGGCAAGAAAACAGCGAAAAGCAATTCGCAACATCTCAACCACTTTTAACAAATAGCGACGGCACTGTTCCAAAACACGTACCGGACAATTAAAAACAGTAGTAGTAGTAGTCGTCGTCGTCGTCGTCGTCGTCGTCGTTGTCGTCGTCGTAGTAGTCGTAAAACGAATAGCAGTAGTAGTATCAGTATCCGTAGAAGTAGCTGTCGTGGTAGTCCTAGTGGTAATAACAGTGGTGGTAGTACGAGGGGCGCCAGTAGTAGACGGGCAGTAGCACCAGTAGTGGTAATATAAATACTTGTCGTCGGGGTAGCAATATCATTGAGCTCCCTACTGGAACCGTACTTCGGGCCCTCTTGCCATCCATTGGGAGCACATGAGGTTCATGTTTGCGCGATACTTGAAACCTACTCCAACGTTTTCGTCTTCTACCAATATCATACTGGAATCTGAGGGACGTCCGATTGGGTCCCGCGAGGAGAACTCTTGCATCCATTTGGAATTCGATGAGGGCGTTTCGGAATTATGGGGTCCTATTCCATCCGATTGGAACCCCAATAGAGGTCTTATTGGAGGTCTATGGGGATCCCATTGGAATCCTATTCGCCCGAGCGACGACAAACGACGGAACACGCGCGCCACGACTGGTTGACTTCGAGGAACGACGAGTGGCGCGCCCCCAGGACAAGTGGTGTCCGCGACGAACGACGGCGCGGGCCTGGGCGACTTACCCACTAGCGCCGCACGACGGACGAACGACGGGCGACCCTCATGCGGCTTACCTACTTGTAGCCGATTAAACCCCCTCATCGATTCAGAACGCCGGAACCCCTCGCCTTCTCTTCGGGCTGCACCCACAACAATCCGATTGGTCTCAGCGGCTTCCGCCCTGCCTCCTGCCACAGCGCCTTCCAAGGGTCAGGACAGGGCCGCAACCTCGACCCAGATGGTCCGGAAAAACCAGCAGCACCAGAAGCAACAACCATACAATGCCACAACAAGCCACCACTGGCATCGAATAGCCCTGGAACGTACCAAACTTGGTCTGCTGCCTAAAGCATTTCAACTCACGCGCTGCCTTCTGACTCTCCCCCTCATCCTCCAGGGCCGCGACCCCTGCTACCTCGAACGTAGTCTTAATATCCCCCATGCCTGCCGCGCGGAAGCTGTCAATTTGATCGGCACTGCGCGCTCGCTTGCCATCGGTGCTTCTTTAGCCCGAACAGCTTGAGCATCCTCCTCTGACGCACCTTATGGACCAGCAAATGAAGACGCCCCATCTTTTCCCAGCACCGCGACCTCCGCGTTGGAGATGATTTGCGACATCGCACCTGCAATGCCTGCCGCAAGCGTCTGAGAGAGACCACCAGCACCCAAACCGCGCAACATCTCACACAATTTCGTAGCATCAAGCCCGAAGGCACCAATCGTCTGCTCATCGCCTTTGTCACTCTGCGGCGGGGCATGATTCCGGACTTCATCGCAATCTCCATCTCTTTAGCTCGCATCTTTTCAAGTTTGACTTTCTTGTCAGCAGTGGGTGTCTCAGCAGACTCGATATCTTTCTGAATTGCCAGAATCTGATATTCCTTGTCGCCCACTGGTTCTCGTGCTTCGTGATCTGTAGCACCACGGCATCAATCGTGCGGGTGAGATAGAGCATCCTGGCAGCAGCTGGCTTATGCGGATTGGTATTTGGCTGAATATCTTCGCGTTCCATGATGACACATTCGCGTAGGGTCCGCCATGCAGGACCTGCACACTTGCTGGTCATGTCGAATTCAACCATTCGAGGCCTTGATCTGCCTTCGTCATAAGAACCTTCCTCGACAAGAAAACCTAAGCTCCAACATTGATTGCAATCGGATTTCGGGCAACAGACACAGGAGGAAACACACTTTTGAAGTATGGCCTTCAGCTATTGCATGGTAGCGTATGCACGCTGAAGCTCCTCATTCGTCTCAGCCTTCTCTGCCCAAAGAGGCCGCATACTTGCGGCTTCGGGTGCCTTGTAACTGTGGAAGCATGACCCGTTCGAATAACGGCAGACTGTGGTAGCACATGCCTCGATCAGGTTTGCTGAAAAAACTCTCTTGTCTAAGTGTGGGTGCATTACCGGCAAAACCAAGTTCGATCAGTAGCTGCACCAGCACGATCGGGCGCCATCACAGGGCCCAACGAAAACGCGCGCGAAAAGAGGCCGTGTTGCCTCTCGCTCTGTCGCGCAACCTGGCTCGCGATCCCCAATCCTTTCTGAACAGTTGCGGGCCGCAAGTACAGCAACATCGGTTTTAACCCAAACTGCTACGGAGGAGGAATAATAAGAGGAGGAGGAGGAGGAGGAACGAGGAGGAGGAGGAGGAGGAGAAGGAGGAGAAGGATGAGGAGGAGAAAGAGGAGAAGGAGGAGGACGAGGAGGAGGAGGAGGAGGAGGAGGAGGAGGAGGGGGAGGAGGAGGAGGAGGAGGAGGAGGAGGAGAAGGAGGCGGAGGAGGAGGCGGAGGAGAGGGAGGAAAAGGAGGAGAAGGAGGAGGAGGACGAGCATGAGGAGGAAAAGGGGGAGCCGTGCGAGAGCGCCCACGAGCCACGCCAGCGGGAGCGAACCGAGCGGCGGGAGTCGCCGAAGGGGCGCGTGCGCAAGCGTCCCCCAGAGGCTGCCCTGGGCCGTGGGAGCGAGCTGGGCCGAGCCCGAGCCGCGGGAGCCGCCGAGGGGAGCATGCGCGCAGGCTTGGAGGCCTGGAAATTGGCACCAACACCAGCACAGGGGGTTGCTTCCACATGGGGAATCTGATCCTAGATTTCGGTGTTGGTGGAAATATTTCGCGGTCACCTTGGAAGCCAGAATATTGCCACCATCACCGAGATCGGGATCGTCTTCCCTCAGTGGAGGCACACCGCCGATCTTGGTGTTGATGTCAACCTCTAGGCCTGCGACAGGCGCCCCCCCCCAAGTCGAAGCCAGGACGAGGATAAAGTTGGGTGAGGACACTGGTGTCGGAAACAATTCATCGGGGGCGCGCAAGCATGGATGGATCAGCGATCCATGGATTTGGCGCGCGGTCGCCACGTCCATGGGTCGGGGGAGGCACCCTCCCCAAAGTGCGGCCGGTGCCGCCTCGCCCAACGGCGGAAATCTGCGATTTCCAATGGAAACGGGACCCGTCGCTAATCCACGCCCCCTGGATCCATGTTTGCGATCGCCTGAATTAAGAAACACGCACTCATAACAGATGGTGTGAACTCCCCGCCCCCTCCCCCCGAATGCAATGTTGGGCTCGGATCTCCAGAGTTTGAGGGTCGGACCAGTGATGCGTACACGTGCCAACTTTGAATTGCAGGGGGAGGGGGGAGTGTTGCTTAATCTTTTCCCTCGCCATAATCGAGAATCTCTGAGATTCGGCTCTGAGAGCGTTCCGGAGCGCTCTGGAACGGACTCACCCTCGTCCTAGCCCCGTCCGATGCCGTCCTCTGGTGCGGAGCCCCATCGCGGGGGTGCCCCAAAGGCAGCCCCAAGGCCGTGGGGGCGGGCCGGACAGTGTCTGTGCGGGCGCCGGTGCGGGAGGCCTGGATACCCTGAGATCCGACGTCTCAAAAAAAATTGAGACGCCGTAAAAAATCGAGCCATTCTTCGAGCCAGATCGGTCTGTGAGGGCCCTGGGGCCCGAAATTACGCGAAAGCGCCTGGCTTGAAAAAGTTGCGTCGCCAGGATCTCAACGCATAAGGGCAGGATCGGGTCGAGACCCGGGGGACCTTCGAGAGCCGGCGGGTGCCGGGGAGGACGCGGCGGGCGCCGCGGCCGTGCTGGAGCGCCCCAGGAGGCTCTCTGAGGGCATGGAGAGCTCTGGGTCTCCGCCTCCTCCTCCTCCTCCTCCTCCTCCTCCTCCTCCTCCTCTTGGGCGGCGATACATGGGAGCGCGGTGAATGGGGGGGCAGCGAGGGCTGCAGAAAAGACGCGAGTTATCTGTACACCCTGGGCCTGTCTGAGGCGCTCCCTCCGCCGTCCAGGGAGCCGCTCCGGCCTCCACATGAGGCCACCCGAAAGGGTCATCACGGATCGGTCAAATCACGGATCGCACAGAGGCTACAAGTCATCACGGATCGGCCAAATCGCTGGCATCATCGGACCGTTCGCATCGGGCCCCGTCGGCGGAGGAGGCACGCCGCCTTCGGAGGTGCTTAGTCGACTCGCTCGATGCAACGCGTGGACATTGGCATGTATCGTCATATCGATCGAACCGTGGACAGATCTGCCCCAGTTCATTCCGATTTATCTCGGGGTATCTCAAGGCACAGCGGGCGTCACGAGCTGACCCACCACCAGCATCCTGAAACAGAAGCATGGGGGGGCGATGTACCTCGCCCTGGAGAGAGACACGCTGGACTGCATTCGAAACGTCATGAGCACGGACGCAAACAATCGCGATTGCTATGAACACAATTTCATTGCATACGCTTCTGAAAGAGAAAGGCTGGAGGCAGCTGGGGAAACCTCTGTCGGGACAATACCTCCACATGATCAGCGGGATCAGTATTTTCCTGTGCTTGCAAATGAAACGACTGAATCGACAATACTCGACTGCGCCGCACGATAGAAATTACAGGGTGGCAAGGCAACCTGGCAATAACAAAAAAAGAACACCCTTGCCAGAATAATACCCCAAACCGCTCTGTGCAATGCGAAATTGGTGACGAGTCGTATACTTAGTACTCTAGATCGTACTGGAAGGGAGAACGGAATCACAACCATAACAACATCCTAAAAAAGACCAAACAAAGACCATAACATGTCATAGAAAAGAAACCGTGCAAACAACATTTGGGAGACCATGCAAAAAAGAGACCTTACGGGACACCGCACAGAAGGTCACAGGAGAGACAATGTTTAGGTCGGGCATGTCCTCCTACAGGCGGGTTTTGGACGAAACATAAAACATGGTCACACAGTACTCACACATATATATATATATAATCAAACACAACAGAAACATCGTCCCCAGAGTATGCTTTGACTGTTTTTGAATATTCCTCCTGTAGAGGGACATGCTCGACTCAAGACTATCTGGGAGACCATGCGGGAGACCCTTGATGGGCCTGTTTTCCCCCACCACCAGAAGTTGGATGGGGGGAAGGAGGAGGAGGAGGAGGAGGAGGAGGAGGAGGAGGAGGACCCCCTCCCCCTCCAACTTGTGGTGGTGGTGGAACACAGGCCCACCAACCCTGGCCGACCACCCCGACGGCTCTCCTGCTGCTGGCCGCCTCTGGCCTCCGGAAAGGGGAGGGGGGGGGCCTCGCCCGCCCCCCCCCCCGGGGACGGGCACGAGAGCGGTGCGGGGGAGACCTCACGGCCGGCCACGCGGACGACCGTGTGGGAGACCACCACCTGCTTCGGTGCGGCCCAGCAGGCAGGCATCCAGGACGGTCCAGGAGGGACCCGCGGGGGGGCCTTCTGGGAGGAAACCATTCCCGGGGCGCGCCGAGGAACCCAGGGAGGTCCAGCTTCCGCAGAAGAAAGAAGCTCTTTGGTGGTGGGCTTTCGGGCACGGGGGTTACCCCTGCCTGAATTCCCGGAAGAAAAACGAACTCCCGGCCGCGGGGGTACTGGCGCGCGGGGTCCCACCCACCTCAGCACAACCAGAGGAAAAGCGCGAGAGCCCATATTGCCAATGCACTCAAATAGTAAGTGCGCTTCGGAACTATACCAGAATTACTTGCACGAACATGTGTCCGATGTCCGATATCGACATTATAGACTGTCTCCTTATTCCTGAATCGAGAGTATATTATGCTTCCGTACTCCCAAGTCGCGATCCTCTAGTGTTTCCTCAGTCCTAAGTCACGAGTCTATACTGTTTCCTTGAATGCCTGAATCGCAGTTCGATCAGACTAGTTGTGCTGCAAGACCAGGTGCACTCTAGGAGCAGCTGCGCGCTAGCACATTACAATACCAATTGCACTCAAGTGCCAAGCGTGCTCTAGCCAGAGGGATTCTAGCAATACGTGCGCGGAAAAATTATAACTCACAAAAAAAAATCCATGCGCCGCCAAGGGTCCCGGGTTTAACGTGTCGCCGCGAAAACGGACCCGCGGAAGGAAGAAAAGAAAACCGGCCAGGGGGGGTGGGAGGTTTCAGGCATGAGTCGCGGGGGCGATGTGGTGTCCCGATGGTGTCTCATGGTGTCCCATGGTGTCCCGCGGTGTCACGTCGGTGTCCCGTGGTATCCCGATTGTGTCCCGTGAGATCGATAGTGAGATCGTAGGGAGAGGGATAGTGAGAGGGATAATGAGAGGGATAGTGAGATCGACGGTGAGATCGATAGTGAGATCGATGGAGTGAGATCGATAGTGAGATCGGATTAGTGGATCGAGCGTGAGATCAGCAGTGAGATCGGCAGTGAGATCGACTCAGTGAGACGTTGGTTCCTCCCTCCCCCGAACCTCCTTCTCACCCTAAGGGTGGTCGTATAGGTATGAGAGACCATGTGGAAGACCACGGGCCACGCGTCACCTGTTCTAGATTTGGACGACCCCACACCCGGGGTCTTAGACGGGAAGCATGGACAAGCTGATTAGGGCAATAAACCGATCCCAAAATGCAAAGCGCCAGTGCGATATTTACGGGCATGCCGTATGCTACAGCAGTCTGAAATGGAGCACGTCAGGAAACACATGTGAGCATCGCAGCGAAATAGTGCGCGACAGCAGGGACAGGCCAGACAGGTAGTGCGCAACCATCCTCGTCCTCCTCTTCCTAAACTGAGCAGACTGAGTCAGCGGCTTGTCAGCAGAAAGCGAACGCACAGAAACCAGCATGGATGGATCTCAGCATGCAGAGTGGATGCAGGATGTGCGAGGCGGGGATTTATCCATACCCACCGCCTGGGAACCGACGTCCTGGTGCCCCAATATGGATACATCTTGGCCCCAGGGGGCCCGCCGAATATGTCCACATCTACCGCCTGCCGAGGTCCCCGAAAATGGGTCCTCCCGGCGGTGGTCATGTACACATTCCCGTCTCGGAGAATTCGAAGAAGAAGAAAACGCCATAATCATAAACTTTTGGCAGTCAGCACGGATTGCTTGGATCGGCGCCTGGCCCCCCGCGAAGCGCCTCCGGCGCCGCCACTGGCGCGCTCCGCGCGCCAGGGAGGCAGGTCCAGCGCGGACCCGAGAAATCCACGCGGAGCGGCAAAAGTTTATGTTTATGGCGTTTTCTTCATTGAAGGACGCTCCTTGCGAACTGCAACTTGAACGATCTCAGGCCCCACTCCGTGGCCTTCTGCGTGAAGTAGGGGAGCCAGTCCGTGCACACCCTCCCTCCGGCCATATCTGCAGAGAGACAACGGCAGCCGCAGGGGAGAAGGAATGACCATGATGCTCCGAGGAGGAGGAGAAGGAAGAGGAGGAGGAGGAGGAGGGGGAGCGGAAGGGGGAGGGGGAAGGGTAGGAGGAGGACCAGTGTAAACCCAAGAGTCATCAACGATGTTGGAATTAACCCTCCTTCCAAACTCCCTCTTCATAGGCCACTACAGCGGTCATTTCCATTCAAGGAACTGCGTCGTTGGAAAACAACCGTTTGAAAAACCATTGTTCTCGGGATTTTAACGCCACGTATCAACCTGACTGCTGCGTCTTGACGATCCTGAATCGTGCCAGAACGCCGTTATTGGGACTTCAACACCGCGAATCAACATAACTGTTGCGCCCGCATAATCCTGAACCCGTCCAAAACACTATTTCTGGTACGCTGATCATGGGAATTCGTGACACTTTTGAAAATGTTGAAGACGAATGTGGGCGGCGTTAAAAGGAAAACCACAATTTGGGGGAGAAACGCCCTCAATCCGTGAATCTCTGGCAAATTTTGAAAACGACTGCGCGGCGCGAAGGCGAGAACCACATCCTGAGAACGACACGCCCTCAATCCGTGAAACTCTTGCAAGTTGTTTAAACGAATGTGCGCGGCGTTGGGGCGAGAGCCACAGATTTCAAAACCACACGCCCTCAATTCGTGAAACTCTTGCAAATGTTGAAAACAAATGTGCGAGGCGCTAAAAGGAGAGCCGCATTTTGAAAACCATCCGCCTTCAATCCAGAAGCTCTTGCAACGGTGGAAAAATGTGCGCGGCGATAAGGCGAGAACCACATTTGGAAAACGACCCGCCCTCAATCCGCGAAACTCCTGCGAAAATTTAAAACGAGAGCGCGCGGCGCGAAGGCGAGAGCCACATCCTGAAAACAAACCGCCCTCAATCCGTGAAACTCCTGCAAATATTGAAGATCATGCGCGCAGCGCTAAGGCGAGGCCCACATTTTGAAAACCAGCCGCCTTCCATCTGTGAAGCTGTTGTCATGTTTGAAACTTCGAACTGCGACAGGGAGAAATTATCTATAAGGGGAAGGAATGACAGAGGAGGAGGAGGAGGAGAGGAGGAGGAGGAGGAGGACGAGGAGGAGGAGGAAGAGGAGGAGGGGGGATGGAGACTACACAATTGAGTTGCCCCAGACTTGACATGTTCGTCGAATCTATGGGAACACGTGGAAGGCCCCATAGATTTGCGATGACGCTACGTGCTTTGTGTGGGGGATTTCTCTGAGATAACCAATTTTGGGGTAAATCCCTGCAGTCGATCACCCGACTCGAATATTAACAGGAAGACATTTCCCCTAGGGCCGACCGCGTGGTCCTTGGCCCGCGGCATCGCCCAGACCCACACAAGCACGCGCTCGCAGTGGCGGTCCCCGAAAAACCAAAGGAAAACAGAGGCCGCACGAAGAGGCAAACGCAACCCGAACCGCCCGTCCAATCCCAGCCTCCGCACACATCGGCCCTCGGTCTATTTCACACGGTTGAAATAGGAAATCCCACCAGCCCTTTGGGCGTGAGTGGTTTAGCGAGCTCTCTCTGTTCTCAACCCCCCTTCTTCCCCTTCGGGGAGGGGTTTACCCCTCCCCCTACCCCCTCCCCCTGGACCTGGAGAGGGGGTTTCGCGGGTCGTTGGAGGTTTTTTTTTTCGACTCCTGGGAGGGCTAAAATTTGACACCTCTCACGAGGATTCTGGCCCCGACGGGGGGGAGGAGAAAAGTGCTCGCCCCATCTGTGATCGATCGCCCGAAAGATGGCCCCAAGATACCTCCCAGACCCCTCCCAAAGAGCCCCAAGAAGCCCCAAGAGGCCTCCAAGAGGCCCCCAAGATGCCCCCAAGCGGCCCCCAACAGGCCCCAAGAGGCTCCCCCGAGGCACCCAAGACGCTCCTGGAAGCCCCTGGGGCCGCCAAGAGGCCCCCAAGACGCCCCAAACGGCCTCCAAGAGGCTCCCAAGAGGCCCGAAGAGGCTCCCCCAAGGCACCCAAGACGCTCCTAGAAGCCCCTGGGGCCGCCAAGAGGCCCCCAAGACGCCCCAAAAGGCCTCCAAGAGGCTCCGGGCCCGAACTACTCACACCAGGACGAGGCGCCCGAACGACTCACACCACGAGGAGCCCGAACGACTCACACCACGACGAGGGCCCCGAACGACTCACACCACGAGGAGCCCGAACGAGTCACACCAGGAGGAGGGGCCCGAACGACTCACACCAGGACGAGGGGCCCGAACAACTCACACCACGAGAAGCCCGAACGACTCACACCAGGACGAAGAGCCCGAACGACTCACACCACGAAGAGCCCGAACGACTCACACCAGGAAGAAGGGCCCGAACGACTCACACCAGGACGAGAAACCCCAAACGACTCAAACCACGAGGAGCGCTTTCTCTCCCTCCTCCTCCGCCTCGTCCTTCTCCCGCTCCCACCACAAGGAGGATGTACAAGGAGGCGGGAAGAAAGAGGAACAGGGGAGATATGCGGGGGCAGGCGGAAACACGCCTGAAAAAAACACGACTGTCGGCATGCTCTGCAAGAGTTGCTGTTTTGAGATGGGCTGGTGGGGATACGCGAAGCGTGAAGAATTAAGCAACACTTCCCCCCTCCCCCCGCAGTCCAAAGTTGGCACGTTCCTCGGAGGCCACTCGGAGGCAGAGAATCGGAATATTCGAAACCGACATTGTATTTGGGGGAGGGGGGGAGTTCAAACCATCTGTTCTGCATGAGTGTTGGTCCATTGTTTCCGACGCGTGTATCTCTAAGAGCACCTGCAGCACGCTGTCGCGACGGCGGTCTCTGGGAAGCCGAGAGCTGTTGGGGACCGCGCGGGCAGGACCCGCGCCTGGAGCACCGGCCTCCGCCTGGCCCTCGCAAAACTTCCTGACAATCTTCGCAACGGGAACTCACTGAAGGAGCCGAACTCTAGAATCACACCAGCCATTTAGGGCGTAGGTGGTTTAGGGTGTTTCATTTTCCACCCCCTTCTTCCCCTTCAGGGTGGGTTTATCACTGTTCCCTACACCCCCTCCCCCAGGCGACTGGGAGCCAACCAGGGACAATGAGGGCCCCCCCCCCACCACCCCTGGCATTTTTAAAAAGGAACCCGGCGCGGCCTCCCCCCACCATCCGCGTCAAGAAAAATAATGCGGGGCACGCTTGGCAGCGGCGGCGGCTGCGGCGCCTGCGGCGGGGCAGCGGCTGCGGCGCCTGCGGCGCTGGCGGCGTTGTTCATAATAACGAGCATCGACATAATTTGTGTCATGGTCGATTGTGCTGTCTCTGACATGTTTTGCGGCAGCGGGCCGCTGGAGTCCTTTTGCGGCCAGTCAACGCATGCATCCTCCGATGCGCGACGCGCGAAGATTTTTGTACACAGGTTTTCGCCTCGCACATTACAATGCGCTTGGCCGTGCCCTGGTTGCCAGACTCGCCAGATGCAGCGCGAGAGACCCCTCACAATGGTAACGGCTGCCCTGCCTACGATGCGAACGGCGAGCGCTGGATGTGAGAGGAAATAGCCATCCCATGTGTGATCCATGTGTTCTCACATCTGCCCTGGGGGCGTACCGGCGCATACCAGAAACATGCCACAGGATTTGCTCCGAACCTAATAAGTGACAGACGGGTGGCGACGATGACAAGGACAGGGATGATTATCGACGCTCCTCGGAAGAAGACTTGCCAAATCATGCTCTGTATAATGTGGTTCGAACGGACCCCTCAAGAAAAATGCAGATTCACTGCGCGGCCCCGTTACACTCGGGCTGCTAAAAGAAGGAACGCGAAATAAGGAACGAAGCCCATCTGCGGCTTCAAAAAAGCCTGGGTGCACGAGAAGGGCTAGAGGAACAACCGCGGAAGGACATAAGGAACATCGAGCCCCTTCCGATTCCAAAGTGTTCCTTACTTCAGCGTCTTGGCTGTACGCACCCCTCAAGAAAAATGCAGATTCACTGCGCGGTCCCGCAGATGCACGGCCCAGCGCTCCCTAGAAAGGGATGGCAGCGTGTAAAAATTTAGCGTCCCCTCACGCTCCCGTTTCCGCTTCCCTCTCCCGCCTCACCTTTTCCTGCTTCCCTCGTCCGTCCTCCATCCTCCTTTCGTTCGTGCTCCTCGTAATCCTCATCTTGACCCACATCTTGATCCACATCTTGATCCACATCGTAATCCCCCTCCTCCTCATCTTGATCCACATATTCTTCGTCACCATCCGCACGCATCATCATCATCATCACCACCACCATCATCATCATCATCATCATCATCATCATCATCATCATCACCACCATTCTGATCATCACCATCATCGTCATCGTAGTCGGGATGCCCCTCAATACAGATCATCATCATCATCATCATCATCATCATCATCCTTATCCTTATCCTTATCCTTATCCTTATCCTTATCCTTATCCTTATCATCATCATCATCATCATCATCATCATCATCATCATCATCATCATCACCAGAACCATCATCAGCATCATCGTCATTATCATCATCGTCGTCATCATCATCGTCATCATCAGCATCATCATCATCCACCTCCTCTTGGTTACCACCCGCACCCTGACCAACATTCCCCTCCTCACACCCTCATCCGTGCAGGGGTGGATTGCGGGGCATCCAAAAATGTATGCCCCTCAATCGTCATCAGCTTGCTCTTCTTCCTCACCCTCCGCACCCTCACCAACCTCCCCATCCTCGCCCCCTCATCCGTGCAGAAATGGATTGAGGGTCATCCCAAAAATGGGTGTCCTTTAATCATCAGCACAATCATCACCAGAACCATCATCAGCATCATCGTCATCATCATCATCATCGTCATCGTCATCGTCATCGTCATCATCATCATCATCATCATCATCATCATCATCATCATCATCATCATCAATCATCCACCGCCATTTCGTCACCACCCGCACCCTCACCAACATCCCCCTCCACATCCACGTCTTCATGGTTCACATTAATCGCCTCCTCCGCCTCCTCCTTCTTGTGATCCTGATCCCCCCGATCCTCATCCTCCGGATCGCCATTGTCGCCAGATCCCCCCCTTTCCATCTCCTCCCCCCTCCCCCCCGCTCCTCCTCCCTCCCCCCTCCCCCCCCTCTCCCTGCCCCCTTCCCCCCTTGCCCCCAAATCTGCAAAGCTGACCGCGTGCAGCGGCGGCGAGGGGCCTCGACTCAGCTTTGCACTACTGGGGGAGGGGGAGGGGAGGGGGAGGGTGGAGGATGATGCTGACGATGGTGGTGGGGGTGCTGACGACGATATTCCCGACGGCCAGTGTTTCAAGCGTGCTGGGCAAAACGCCACGCGAGGAGAGGAACACACATCCGTGGATGCACGTAAACACAAGATGGTCGTTATTTTCAACAACACTGGCGGGGGCGGCGGCGGCGGCCGTGGCGGCGGCCGTGGCGGCGGCGGCGGCAGCGGTGGCGGCAGCGGCTGCGGCGGCAGCGGCTGCGGCGGCGGCGATTCGGCAGCGGGGGCGGCGGCGGCGGCGGCGGGCGGGCGGCGGCGGCGGCGGCTGCGGCGGGCGGCGCGGCGGCGGCGTCGGACAGCGGCGGCGGCGGCGGCGGCGCGGCGGCGGCGGCGTCGGACAGCGGCGGCGGCGGCGGGGGAGGCGGCGGCGGCGGCGGATTGGCCCCAGTAGCTGCCCATCCAAAGACGACTGCTGAATATGCTGAGGCTCGGGACAGGCTCGGGTGCTACGTATGTGTTGGGAGGCCGGGTGGGAGTGAGCGAGACGGCTTGCGGGCGGGGAGGGCGTCTTGACCCCTCCCCCTACCCCCTCCCCTGGACCTGGAGGGGGCGTTCCGCGGGTCGCTGGATCGTCCAAAACGGCCTCGGCGAGGAAACCGAAATCATTTGTTTTACTAGGGTTTGGGCTCCATTTTGACCTTTTGGGAGGGCGGCGCTAATTGAGACCCCCGTTTCTTTGATTCTCCTCCGAGATGGCCCCAAGAGCGCTCCCAAGGCTCCTGAGGGTGCCCCAAGAGGGCCCCAAGAGGTGGCCAGGAGGCCCCAGGAGGCCCCCAAGAGGTCCCCAGGATGCCCCCAAGAGGCTCCCAAGAAACCCCCAAGAGGCCCCAGAGGCCCCCCAGAGGCCCCCAAGACGCTCCAAGAGGCCTCGGCGAGAATGCCAAAACCATTGGTATTACATAGGTTTTGGCCACATGTTGGCCTCCCGGGGAGGGGGGGGGGGGGGGGGGGGGGCACAGCTTAAGATGACCCCAAGAGCGCCTGGGAGAGCCCAAAATGACCTCCAAGATGGCTCAAAATATCCCAAGATGCCTCAAGATGGCGATGCTCCAAGAGACCCCAAGACCGCCCCAAGACGGCTCCAAGTGGCCAAAGAGCTCCCCCAGGAGGCCCCGAAGATGCCAAAATTCTTCCAAAACTTTAGGACAATAAATATGGTTGGCTCTCTCGCCTTTTCGCTTCCGATGGCCATCCGAGGCTTCAAGATGGCTCCAAGATGGCCCAAGAGGGCTCCAAGAGCGCTCCCAAGGCTCCCAAAAGCGCTTCAAGAGGGCCCTGAAAGGAGGCCCCAGGAGGCCCCAACAGGCGCCCAAGAGGCCTCCAAGAGGCTCCCAAGAGACCCCCAAGAGGCCCCAAGAAACTCTCCGAGGCACCCAAGACGCTCTAAGAGGCGTCCGGGACCACCAAGAGGCCCCCAAAACGCTCCAAGAGGCCTCCACTGGGGGAGCCTTCCTCTGCGTGCTGCCCACGTCCCTGATCGAGTTGCCATCGTTTCAGGATGGGCTGGTGGGTTACTTTTTTGGTCCGCGGCTCCGAGGCGAGAGACAGGGAGCGAGCACAACGTCCGGGGCGCGGTACGTCAGTAATTGGCGCGAGATTGCCGCGGATTCCAGCGGACAACACTCGCAGCGGCACATGCACATGCCAGGGACAAAATGCCCCTCATTGAGACGCATTTCAGCGTCTGCTAGTGACCGGCCCAGACAGCCCGGCTTGTGGGGAAGCAGAAAGCGCGGCAACGAGGCGGCAGGAACGGGGAGGAGAAGTCGCCCTTGCGGCGCCAAGCTCCATCCGAACCGCAACCGTAAGCGAGGCCAAGACGGACAGCAAGACACTGTAACAAGCCGCGGGCAGAACGCGAGACCGAGCGGCCAATGACCAGACGGAGCCCCGACGCTTTTTCTGGCCCCGCACTGACACTCGCACAAGAAAGCGGATCCCTCGACTCGCGCTGGAGCGGCCACGATCTGCTCCAGCTTCCCCTGGACACCTGTTGGATCTGCGCGGATTCGCGTGGAATTGCCAGGATCTGCGATCCCCACGGGTCGATTCGCAAACAGCCGTTAGGCTCGAGGTCGTCCAAGAGGGGGCATGAGGGGGGGGGGGGGCGCAAACCATGGCTGGCGGCACGCGCGCGGCTCAGAGTGGGGGGGGGGCGGGGATGCATTGAAATTAAAAGAGGCACCATGAAATCTGGAGAAATATCATGGCCCCCGCCATGACCACACACCCCTACAGTGGAGGCCGGTCCACAAGATACCTTCCACAAGAACCCCAACCCTGAGACCCCAGGACGTCCATGGATTTTTGGTGTGGGAATGTCGCGCCCTCCACCGCAAAACCATCGAGGCCCAAGAAACCCAGGGTACTCTGGAGGCAAGCAGGGTGTTTCTTGGCATGGGTTTCCACTGTACCCAGACATCCGACGTCTCGATTTTTTCGAGACGCGTGCCCCCGACCTCCCGACCACTTCCCTGGGACCGGTTTTTCATCCCGAGTCGTTTTTTGACGGTCCCGAGGCCCGGCGAGGGCCCCGAGAGGCCAAAACCCATGAAAAGCCTCTGCCCCGATTTTTTCGAGACGCCCGATGTCTGGGTAGTCGTCACCCCACCCCTGGGCGCCCCCGACAGGCCCTCGGGGAAGCCTCTCCGGGGCGCCAAAGGGCCGCGCAGCTCTGAGGGGGCCCTGGGACACACAAATGAATAGACACAAACAACAGGATTCCCTATATTTTCCTATATTTTCTGGGTTTTTGTCTTCCCCCCCCCACTTCCCATATCTTCCCATATTTTCTGGGGAATCGACGATTCATTGTGTCTGTGTGTTGTTTTGCCTCCCGAAGCTCGGGCGGGCCGCGCCCGGGAGCCGGCGGCCAGCGCCCAGGTCGCCCAATGCAGCTGCGCCCGCGGCGCCCCCCGCGGCGCCCCGCTGGCGCGAGGCGCGGCCCCCGGCCGACGACGACGACGACGACGACGACGACGACGACGACGACGACGACGACGACGACGACGACGAGGCGCGGGGCCCACGGAGACACGCACAGATTGGCATCAGTTCCAGGACTCCCCACATCATGCTTCCAGGCGTCCTTGGTTTTCCTTCCCCTCCGATGCTCATGGATATCAGCGCTTGTTTGTGTTCGTGCCGGTTTGTCTATCCTACCAACGAAAGGATGCGAGAGGAATGAGGGCGTTCGTTCAGCTCCTGCGGGCCCCCATGGGGCGACTGGAGCCTCTTCCTCCGCATCGCTCCCTCCCCCCTCCCGCCCACCCCTCATCCCTCCCTTCATCCCTCCTTCCTTCCCCATCATCCCTTGTCCTCTCGTCCTCCTCCTCCTCCTCCTCCTCAGCCTCCTCCTCGTTCCCCCTCTTCGTCCTTTCCCATTAGTATCCTCCCGATCGTCTATCCTTCCATCTCCCCCTCTTTATCCTCTTTTTCCTCATCGTTTTCTTCCTCCTCCTCCTCCTTGTCCCCCTCGTCCTTGTCCTCGTCCTCCTCCTGCATTCCTTTTCGTTATGAATAAATTCTCCCTGTCGCACCCCGAGGCCAATGTTTAGGGCGGGCTGGGCGCTTCGCCTGAGAAGTCCTCACCACTTATGACTCTGAACTTTGAGCAGTGGCAACAGTTTCACGGATTGAGAGCGGGTCTCTTTCAAAAATGTGGTTCTCGCCTTAGCGCCGCGCACATTGGTTTAACACATTGCAAGAGTTTCACGGAATGAGGGCGGGTGGTTTTCAACATGTGTTTCTCGCCTTAGCACCGCGCACATTCGTTTTGAACCAATTGCCAAAGCTTCACGGATTGAGGTCGAGTGGTTTTCAAAATGCGGTTCTCGTCTGAGCGCCGCGCACATTCGTTGTAATAACTTGCAAGAGTCTCACGCATTGAGGGCGGGTCGTTTTCAAAAGTTGGTTCTCGCCTCAGCATCGCGCGCATTCGTTTAAAAATGCAAGGGCTTCACGGATTGAGGGCGGGCGGTTTTCAAAATGTGGCTCTCGCCTTAGCACCGCGCACATTCGTTTCAAGAATTTGGAACATGTCACGGATTTCCATGATCAGCGTACCAGAAATTGTGTTTTGGACGGATTCAAGATTATGCGGGCACAACAGTTATGTTGATTCGCGGTGTTGAAATCAAAAAATGGCGTTCTGGCACGATTCAGGATCGTCAAGACGCAGCAGTCAGGTTGATCCGTGGCGTTGAATTCCCGAGAACAATGTTTTGGCATGCGTCAGGGTCTTCAAACGGTTGTCTTCCAACGAGGCACTTCCCTCAATGGAAATGAGCCCTTGTAGGGACCTATGAAGGGGGAGCTTGGAGGGAGGGTTCATTCCAACGTCGTTGATGACTCTTGGGTTTACACTGGTCCTCCTCCTCCTCCTCCTCCTCCTCCTCCTCCACCTCCCCTTTTCCTCACCTTCTCCTCCCCCCCTCCTCCCTCCTTCCCCGCCATCGCCTGCACTCCCTCGCCTGCCTTCCGCCGCCTGCCCTCCCTCGCGCCCCTCCGTGACCCCCGCACCCCTCGCGACCTCGAGGTCTCGGTGGCGCGCATGGCCGACCCGACCTGCGCGCGGGGGAGCCCGGCGCCGCCCCCCGCCCTGGGGCCTCGGGGCCGGAGGTGGAAAGCAGTCGGGCAGGATGGGCAGGAGCAGTCTGGCGACATGAGAAGCACGAGCGAACGACGGGGAGGACATGATGTTTTCCTTCCCGCAGCGCTCCAGCCCTCGACGTTGACCCAACTTGGGGCTCTGAGCGCCATTCTGGGCGCCCAGGGCCTCCCACGGGGCCCCGCACACACGGCTGGCGGGCCAGAAGGGGGAGGACGAGGACGAGAAAGACCATCAGGAGGACGAACGGAAAAAAATGGGGCGAACCTGAAGAGGAGCCAGGCTGGAGATCCGCTCCCTCCTCCTCCTCTTCCTCCTCCTCCTCCTTCTCCTCCTCCTCCTCCCTCCACCATTCCTCCTCCTCCTCCTCCTCCTCCTCCTCCTCCTCCTATTCCTCCTCCTCCTCCTCCTCCTCTCCTCCTCCTCCCCTCCCCCTCCCCTCCTCCTCCTCCTCCTCCTCCTCCTCCTCCTCCTCCTCCTCCTCCTCTTCCACACCATCACCACCTCCTCGCCCCATCATTTCCCTCCCCCCCACACCACTTCCACCACCTTCCCCCTAACGACCCGCTGGCCGCCCCCCATTGCCTCCTCCTCCTCCTCTGAACACTTCCCATCGGGGACGCGCTAATCCAAGTCAGCCAAGACCATCCCGCAAATCCTGAGAGTGCTCCTGGGGGGCCCTGGGGCTTCAGGGAAGCCAGAAGGGCCATCTGGAGGCTATTGGGCTTCTTGAAACAATATGTCGGCGATTCGAGGCCTCCTTGCATCGTCATGGGGGCCTTTCGAGGCCCTGCTGGTCCGTCTTGGGGCTGTCTGGGACGCCTCTCGGGCCGCTCGGGAAGGCCCCTGGAGGCCCGGCGCAACCACGGAGAGTCGAAGCACCTGGCAGGGCAGCCCCAGCACATACACATATGTATATGTACATATATACACATATCGATGTCCCTCTCTCTATATATATAAAAGCATATGTAGGTATAGATAGATGTATACAGGTAGATGTGTCTGTATACATATATAAGCGTTTTAATTAAATAAGCCATTCCTTATTTGATTCCTTTATTAATTCGGTCATTCACACATACACAAGATTTGACGCTCGCTGCGCGTCGCTCCCACGTCTTGGTATGGTGCATGATGAATGGAATGGGAGGGGGCAAATGGGCGCCCAAGGCGAGGGCGCGATTGCGAGAATTCGCCCGGAAACCGTCCCACAAATCGCCCGCTCGCGTTTCGAAGATGCTTGATCTTGGGGCCATGTGATCGACAACGACGGTGGTGATGAGGTTGATGAAGCTGATTTGCTGAAGATGATAGAGGTAAGTTTGAGGTGATGCTGAAAAGAAGAAGGGCGGCTCGGAGACATGGCAACTCGGGGGCCGTAAACGCCGGCGGGAAGAAATAGGTAGAAACATGAAGTAGGAAGGCGGATCAAATAGATTGGGTTCGGGCCCGCCCAAAGAATAACAACAAACAGCAGCCAAAACATATCGATTATTGAAGTAGGAAGGCGCTAGAAGTAGATTGGGTTTGGGGACTCCAAAAATACCTACTTTCAACGACCGATGGGTAGGCAACTCTGCGTGCAAAGGCCACAGTTGGGCGTGATGCCTCGAGACTCGCAGGCGGGGAGGGCGACCAGCAGAGGAGCGCCGAAGAGCAGCGGGGCAGACCGGGCCACAGCGCGGAGCGGGGACACGCCTGCTTCGGAAACATGGCGCGAGAGCTCGTGGGCTGCCCTGTCGGAGGCTCTCTTGGGCCTGCTGCTGGAGTTTCCTGGGGAATCTCAATTGGTGGATCAAAGATGGGGTCCTGAGGGATGGGGGCCTAAGGATAGGAAGGGTTCCAAGGGTGGATCGGCGTTGTTTGAGGCACCTCGTCCTCAGGACCCCATCCCTCAGGACCCCAACCTCGAGCCACCGACTCAACTGAGTGACGACCAAAAATGGGTCTTACGCGAAATGGCACCGCGACCTCACGCCGCAGCTTGCGCGGGCTGCCGGCGCGGCACGCCACATGGGAGACGAAGGCGTTTACGCGTGACCTCACGCGTGCAGCTTACGCGCCAATGTCGGCGCACACGACCTCGTTTCATTGCGTCGCTCAACTGCTTTGGGGTTTGGGGATTCTCTGGGGGCCATGATGCGACCATCCTGGGACCACTTCCGGGCCTTCGGAACCCCTGCGAAAAAGCTTGACACTCAAGGGAAGGTCATGGGAAGGAATGATGTGGTCACGGGCATTATTGGAAACTGTATTGGTGGACATCGGGGTGATCCGGAGCCTGCGGAAGGAGTGTGCCGAAATGGATGTGAACAAGATCACGCATGCGATTCCTGCAACTGGGGCCTTCGGTGGAACTCCCTATGGGGCCACGAAATTTGGAGAGAGACCCAGAAAACGTCCCAGAGGGACGTTCTCTGGACGCATGAAATACTGGCCCGCGCGATGTAACCCGATTGCGCCTGGAAGACTCTGGGAAGTCGGGTGGCTCGGACACTTTGGAGGCGGGGGTGCGGTCGAGCCTCGGACGACCCGGCGAATGCACTGTGAACGTCGGATGTCGCAACGGAAGCCCCTCCCCCCCATCCGGGCGATCGCCGTGACTTCGGCAGGGCCAGATCGCGCGCGGGCGTGGCTAGGACAAACGGCCCTTGGACGCCGATGTCGAAGCCCCCCATCGGGGCCGTCACCCGGTTACGGATGGGCCGAAGACGCAAGGATGCAAAGGCGGCCAGGCGGGATTACCGACCCGCGCGATGTGGCCCGACTGCGCTTGGAAGACTCTGGGAGGTCGGGTGGCCCGGACACTCTGGGGGCGGGGGGGCGTGCTCTCGGCCTTGGGCCTCAAATGACCCAGCGAACTTATGAATGTCGGACGTCGCAACGGAAGCGCCCCCCCCCATCCGGGCGATCGCCGCGACTTCGGCAGGGCCAGATCGCGCGGGTGCTGCAAGGACGCAAGGCCACTGGGCGGCGAAGTCGAGGCGGGCCTCCATCGGCACCGAGTGGGCCGACGAGGCAAGGCTGCAAGGGCGGCATGCCGGCGTTTGGTGATGATGATGATGACGATGATGATGAGCGTGATGTGTTTTCACTCGCTAGGCTCGGGTAGTAGGCTCGGGTAGTAGGGCGCGGCAGGATGCCCATTTACACAGGTCGCGCGCGCTCTCCAAGCGCACGCCTGCCGCGGGAATTAGATTCACAAATCTACCACGACTCCAATCTAGCACAACTCAGACCCACGCGCTGGCTAGCCTCACCTCTCGAACAAGTCGCCCGTCGCCCTCTCGCGCTCAAACTTGCCGGAGGCCGCCGGCGCCTCCGAGACGTTGGCCCGCTCCTGGAGACAGGACTCCGCGAAGGCCGCATCTGGCGTCGGGTCGGCGCGGGCGAGCCAAGCCCGCGTCGTCTCGCCCACGGCGCTGCCGGTGGACAAGTACAAGAATGCCATGCGAGGGTTGCTGTCCGTGCCTTTCTGGAGAAACTCGAAGATCTTTTCCACGGACGCCCTGAACTCCGGCTCGGCGGGCGGTGCCTTCGCCTCGGCGCCCCCGGTCGCCCCCCGAGCATTCGCGGCGCGGAAGGCGTCTGCCCCGTCGCTCGGCGGGCCGCCCTTGCCGAGGTTGGGCGTCTTTAGGTGCGGGAGCAAGTCCTTGGCCTCGCTGTCAATCTGCGTGACCACTTCCGGCTGCGTCATTGCGCGGAGGCCCCAGTGCCCTTGCTGGGCCTCGATGCGCTTCTCCATCGTCTCGCAGAAACGAGATATCCCACTCCCTGCGCGGCGCTGGGGGCCGGGGCAATTGCTCTCGTTCGCAGCCAGCTCGTTGAAAAAAACTTCGCGAAGTAATCGCCCTTGGACACGATGGCCCACGGCGCGTCGAGCTGAACGTCGTCAATAACGCTCGCGCCGCAAGGGTCAAACGCCTTGGCGGCGATGGTATCCGCGTTCTTGAGCTGGCACCGTTTCTCGGTCTCCTTCCTCTCCGCGCCTTTGCGCCTGGCGCCCGCGCCGATCGCCGCGGCGGCGACGTCGGCGGCGGCGGCGGGCGCGGACTGAGCCATCTGTCAGCCGCTGGAGTCGGACTGGGACAAGTAAGAAGCTGGTGCGCAGAGCTGCCCGGCGATGTCCACCAGCAGAGAGTCTCGAGCCCAGACGGCAACGCTTGCACGAGGTCGCTCCAGCCCAGACCCGCCTCAGCCTGTCCAAGCCAAAGCCTGCGGAGCTTCCGCCGCGCACTGAAACTGTCGCGCTGACATTCCAACCCTCTGTCTGGCCTCAGCCTCCGCTATCTCCGCCATCGGTATGGGAGAGCTGGAGCCCCCTCCTGCCCCGCATTCGCACTCATTATCCGACGGCCGCGCCATGCTATAAGTTTCGATCCCATGCTACGCAATGGCATCCAATCCACTGCGTACGCCATGCTATTCGATGCCATCATACGCCATGTTACATCGACGCCTATGCCATGCTATGGTTTTTTGATGCCATGTTGTGATGTTCGTTGCCATGCTATGCTATCGATGTGCCTATGCCGTGCTATGCCAACCTCTCCTACCTCTATCTCTGCCGTCGCCTCCACGCATAAGGGCGCGCGCGCATATCTCGCCCGGCCGCAGATGCTCGGTCGCCCGGGGCTCCGCCGCTAGAGCGGCCCCAGGACAACTGCCACGCCGTGCCATGCCACGCTGTGCTGCCCGACGCCTGTGCCATGCCGTGGTTTTCGATGCCAAGCAATGCTATTCGATGCCATGCTATGCTATCGATGCGCCAATGCCATGCCATGCCGAACTCTCGCCCCAAGTCTGCCGTCACTTCCGCGCGCAATGGCGCGCCCCCGGAGGCTCCGATAGGCCGTTCAAAGTCCACTTGTGCCTTTTTTGTCTGGGGTCGGCCACGGCGCGGCAGGGGGGGACTTCAGGAAGCACAACCGCCAGGGGCTGGCGGTAAAAGGCCGGGCGTTCGCGCAAATAACACCGGCGCAGAGTCCGCCAACCGCTCCTGAGCTAAAGCGCGCACGGAAGACAAGACACATGGCGCCGTCGCGCAAACTCATCGGCTGCTTCCCATGTAGCTGCGCGATGCATCGCCCACGCGTCGAACGCCGCGCTCGGGGTGCGCTGGACTGCTCAACCGTTCGCCGATGATTGCTCGAGCGCACCGCCAATGCATTTCCTATGCAATCGGCAACTCTGGGTCATCGACGCAACGCCCATCGTAGAACCACAACAATTCCATCGCGAGCACCGCCCCCTTGCACATGGTATTCCACAAACCTTCTGGAGAAGAACATCCACATCTACATGGTCTTCCACCGCCAACTCTCGGATCGCTGGAACATGCTTGACCTCCGCATCTGTCCTCAGCGCCCGATGGCTTTGCCATGCTATGCTCTCCGATGCCGTGCTATGCTAGGCCTTGTCCTTCGATGCGCATGCCATGTTATTCGATGCCATGCCGCGCCGTTCCCTGCCATGTTATGCTATCCTACGCCGACGCCATACTGCGGTATCAGATCGCACGCTGTGCTCTTCGATGCCGTGCTACGCTATCGATGCGCCTACGCCATGCTATGCCGCAATCTCCTACTCCTAATCTGCCGTCGCCTCCGTGCGCGCAGCCCGCGTGGATATCTGCGCCCGACCGCAGATGCTCTGTCGCCTGGGGCCCCACCTCGAAGGCGGCCCCTGGGCAACCGTCGACGCCCGGAACTCCGCTTTCACACGCCCGAAGCTCCGCCGCAAGGGCGGCCTCTGAACGTTCGCGGCCCCTGAACGCCTCGCCCGGAGCTCCACCCACCGCCTCGACGGGAAGCGGCCCCTGGACTCGGCTTTCTGCCCGGCGCTCCACCAGCCCAAAAGGGGGGCGGCCTCTGGGCAGATTGGCCCGGAACTCCACCCCCCCAAAGGGAGGCAGCACCTGGGCCAGCACCCGAAGCTCCACCCCCCGAAGGGGGGCGGCCACTGGGCAATCTGCCCGAAGCTTCGCGCCCCCCCTGCCCGAGGCTCCACCTCCCCGCAGGGAGGCGGCCTCTGGGCAGATTGACCCGGGACCCCGCCTCCCCCGAGGAAGGCGGCGGCCCCTGGGCCAGCGCCCGAAGCTCCACCCCCCCGAGGGGAAGCGGCCTCGGGCGCTCTGCCCGGAGCCCCACCTCCCCGGACGGAGGCGGCCCCTGGGCCAACGCCCGAAGCTCCACCCCCCGAAGGGAGGCGGCCTCTGAGCGCTCTGCCCGAAGCTCCACCTCCCCGACGGGAGGCGGCCTTTGGGCAGATTGACCCGGAGCCCCCCCCCCCAAAGGGAGGCGGCTCCTGGCCAGCACCCGAAGCTCCACCCCCCCGAAGGGAGGCGGCCTCTGGGCGCTCTGCCCGAAGCCCCACCCCCCCGAAGGGGGGCGGCCTCTGGGCAGCATGAACTCCACGGACCTCCCGGTGCTTCCAGCAGCTCCAGGGATCGACGGCGACGACGAAAACGGCCTCTCCGGGCCTTTGCAATGACCCCCAAGCTGCTCCAGCACCTCAAGGGGGCGGTGGCGACGACGACGCGTCCCCTTCGAAGTCTTATCGTTTACTCGTGATTACAAGCCGATTCAGACACATAAATATACGTTTCCCGGCGTTCCGACACAAGCGAATCGCGCTCGCGACGACGGTGGCACAATCCTACTGGTGAGGCACCACGCATACGCCGCGACGCCCGAGCGCCTCTGGCCGGACCAAAAATCTGTAAACTTGTATCGTGTACTCGTGAATTCAAGCCGATTCAAGAACCTAAACGCACGTTTCCCGGCATATCAACCCGGATGAATCGCGCTCGCTACGACCGTAGCGCAATCCTACTGCTGAGGCACCACGCAAACGCCGCGGCGCCCGAGCGCCCTTGGCCGGACCAAAAAACGGTAAAAAATTATCGTACACTCGTGATTACAAACCGATTCGGACAACTACACGTACGTTCCCCGGCGTTGGTCCCCCTCGAGCGCTCCCGAAAACCACGACGGCGACGACGACAACGACGACGTCCGCCCCTGGAACGCTCCTAAGGGGAACCACACCGACGGCGACGACGACGGTCCCCTCGAGCGCTCCCAAGGAGCCACACGACGACGCCCTCGGCGATAGTTCCCTCGAGCGCTCCCACAAGTGACGACGACGACGACGACGACGACGACGACGAACGACGACGACGCCCGCTCCCTCGAGCGCTCCCAAATACCACGCCGACGGTGATGACGACGACGGCTCCCTCGACCGCTCCCACAGAGCCACACGACGACGGTCACACAAATTGCGACGACGATGTTGGTCCCCTCGAACGCCCCCGGGAAGCCACGGCGACGACGACGACGACGCCCGCCCTGTAGAACGCTCTCAGGGAACCACAAAAACGGCGACGACGGCGACGTCCCCCTCGAGCGATCCCAAGGAGCCCTACGACGACGCCCGCGGCGATGGTTACCTCAAGCGTTCTCGAGGGCCACGACGACGACGAACTCCAATCCCTCGAACGCTCCCAAGGAGCCACACCGACGGCGTCGAAGACGACGGCTCCCTCGAGCGTTCCCAGGGAACCACACTGACAGCGACGACGACGACGGCTCCCTCGAACGCTCCCAGGGAGCCGCGCGAAACGATGGTTCCTTCAATCGCTCCCGTGCGCCACGACGGCGACGACGACGACGACGTCCGCTCCCTCGAGCGCTCCCTGAGCCACGCCGACGGCGACGACGACGCCCTTCCGTGGAACGCCCCCCAAGAGCCACACGACGACCACGACGACGACGACGACGACGACGACGACAATGGCTCTTTCGAGCGCCCCCATGAGCCACGACGACGACAACGACGACGACGACGACGATAACGAAGGCTCTCCTGGGGTACGCTAGTACATGAAATTTGATAGCGGGTTAAACAGTGGTTACGGATGCGGCAACCTCAATACATTTGCCACTCGGGGCGCTGCGCCCAGCGCCGGATACCTAACAGGGTCCCTGCAATGAGAGGTCGGAACGCCGTCAAAACCAGTCGCAACGTGTTACAAACCGCTGCGATTCGCCCCAAAAGCGCCCTGTTGACAGGAAAGTGCAAACATGTCATAACAATTACACCTGCAGCTCCTATCCCAATAACATAGTGCGAACCCCCTGGCGCCGAATGGGACAAGGAAACGCGGCGATCGAAAACCATATATGTATATATACGTTTATATATACACACATACATATATACACACACATTCGAAACGCATTCCACAATCGCAAGCAGGACAACGAGCGAGCTTTTCGCTCCCAAAACCTCGCGAATAATCACACCAGGAAGCAGGGGGTCTCGGCAGCGACGAAAAAACGTCAGTTCCCCCTTTATGCAATAACAAAGCTGCGCGCATCTATCTTCTACTCGTGATTACATGCCGATTTAGACACCTGAACGCACGTTTCCCGGCGTTTCGACACGAGCGAATCGCGCTCGCGACGACAGTGGCACAATCCTACTGCTGAGGCACCACGCATGCGCCGCGACGCCTGAGCGCCTCTGGCCGGACCAACAACCAGTAAACTTGCATCGTCTACCGAGCACCTCTGGCCGGGCCAAAAATCGGCAAAATCATTTCGTCCGCTCGCGATAACAAACCGATTCGCACACCGGAACGGGCGTTCCCCGGCGTTTCGACGCGCGCGAATCGCGCTCGCGACGGCGTCGGCGCAATCCTAAAGAAGGCGCCACGCGCGCGCCGCAGCGCCCGAGCGCCTTTGGCCGGACCAAAAATCGGAAAACAAATTCGCCCACTCGCGATTACAAACCGATGTAGACGCCCACAGGCGCGTTTCCAGGCGTCGGCCCCGGACGGATCGCACTCGCTACGACCGTAGCGCGATCCCGCTGTCGAGGCAGCGCGCAGACGCCGCGACGTCCGACAACGTCTCACCGGGCCAAAAACCGATAAAATTGCATCGCCCACTCGCGCCTACGCGCCCACTCGGACACCTCAGCGCGCGCGCGCCGGTGCCTCGACCAAAACGACTCGCGCCCGCCGCCACCCTAGCGACCTACTTTTGCTGAGAGCACATGGGGGCTCCGCCGCGCACGAACACGTCTAGACGGTCAGAAACCAACGAAACTGCAGCGCTCCCTCGTGCTTATATCCCTTGTCACCCTCGCCCCCCCCCCCTCCTCCTCGCTCTTTCGCGCGCGCGAAAAACAAGCCCACCGCCGCCGCCGCCGCCCTCTACCGAAGCGAACGCGCGCTCACTTGCCTTTCCCGTTCCCAATCTCCTCGCGCTCGTTCTCCCACCAGCAAGACTCCATCAGGTTCGCGATGACGTCGCAGCGGTTGTCGCGCGTCAGCCGGCGCAAGACGCGCTCGCCGATGACGAGGCGCCTCGGCGCGCGGCCCCGGAAGCGCGCGCGCCGCTGCTCTGTGTCCTCGCTCATCGTCTCTGTCGTCGTCGTCTTCGTTTCGCCATCGTCGTCGTCGTCGTTCTGGGTCCTCGTTCTGGATCCGCCCCGAGCCGCCCGCGCGCTCCGCGCCCCCGTCGCGCGCGCCCGGCAGGGGGGGGTGGTCAAAAGTGCTCGCTGGCGGCGCGCGGTCGGCGTGGGCGCAATCGTCCCGTCCCTCGTCTTCGTCGTCGTCGCCCAGGTGGTCATCGTCGTCGGCGACGTCGTCGTCGCCTCCGTCGTCTCCTCCTCCTCCTCCTCCTCCTCCTCCTCCTCCTCCTCCTCCACCTCTTCCTCCTCCTCCTCCTTCCCCTCCTCCTTCTCCTCATCCTCCTCCTCCTCCTCATCCTCCTCCTCCCCCTCCTCCTCCCGACGACGAACGCGGAGCCATTCTTCGGCGACGGCGGCGACGACGACGACGGCGACGTCCGCTCCCACGCTCCTGCGCGCGCTTGCGAATTGCGCCAGGGCGCCTGGAACCGCCTGGGAGCGCGCGGGAGCGCCTGGGAGCGCCTCTCAGCGCCTGGAAGCGCCGAGGACCGCCTGGGAGCGCCAGGGGGCGCTCGGGAGCGCCGGGGAGCGCCGGGGAGCGCCTGGGAGCGTCTCGGAGCGCGTGGAAACGACGGGAACCGCCTTGGAGCGCTTGGAGCACCTCGCGGCGCTTGGGTTCGCTTGGGCGCGCCTGGAACTGCTTGTTAACGCCTAGGAGCACTGGGAGCGCTTGGGAACGCCCAGGAGCGCCTGGGAGCGCCCGGGGGCGCCGGGGAGCGCTCGGGAGCGATTGGATGCGCGCAAAATGCCCAGGAGCGCTTATGCGCCTGGGAGCGCCTGGCAACGCTTGGCAACGCTTGGGAACGCTTGGGGGCGCTTGGGGGCGCATAGGAGCGCCCGGGAGCGCTTGGGAGCGCTGGGGAACGCCTGGGGGCGCCTGGGAGCGCATGACAGCGCCTGGGCCCACGACGACGCTCGGCCCACGATGGTCCCGCAGCGAACTCCTTGGCCCCTCGCGATCTTTTCTTAAACATGTAGCGCGGAGCACATCCCACCCGCGCGGTCGAATACGCCCCACATCCCGCTGCGCGCTCCTGTGCAGTTCCTCCTGCCTGCTTTTCCTCCCGCGTGCTCCGCGCTGCTCCTTCATGCTTCTCGCTGATCCACGCTGCCTTCCCTGATGGCTTGCATGCGTCAGAGCGTGTCTTGATATGCAATGTGTTTCTAGGGTGGGTGGGATGTGGGCACCGCGCCACTGTGTGTGTGACACGTCCAGTATGTTGACACTTTCGCGCTCTTGTTGGAAGGGGGCGCTGACCGAACTGGGCACGGTCACGCATGCGATTCCTGCCACTGGGGCCTTCGGTGGAGCCCCTTGTGGGGCCACGAAGCGTGTGAGGGGTGCGCCGAAATCGGCGAGGTCAGGTGTGCGATTCCTGCAATTGGGGCCTTCGGTGGAGCCCCCTTCGAGGGCCACGGAGCCCGTGAATGGTGCGCCGAAACGGCGTGGAGAAGTCATGCGAACGCAGCCTATGAGGCCCTGCATCGGCCCAAGGAAAATCCCCTGAATGTTCATTAAGGCGCTCGCCAGCGGAACTCGGCGAAAGGAAAGCAACGTCGAAGACGGCGGAAGGCCCGTGGAGAGCTGGCTGAAGTAAAGGACGCCCCTTCCGAGCCCCCCGCGGAAATCTCGGTTTCTGAGCTGGAGTTCCCCATCTTGGCCCTCTCTCGGGGCTCTCTTGGAGCGCTCTTGAGCCATCTTGGGCCGTCTTGGGGCGCTGATGGGCCGCCCCGGGACCGTCTCGGGGGCCTCCCGGCCCGTCTTGGGGCGAGGCTTGGGGCCTCGTGGGCCGTCTTGAACATCGAGAAACGCGAAAAATCCAACATACTGAAAGCGTACACTTTCAAAAGGAAACGAGACTCTGGCCTCTCGTCGGGAACCTCTTGCGGCCACTGAAGATCGCCTGGAGCTGTCTTGGCATAGCCTGGAAGCCTTCTGGGACCGTCCAAGAGCAGTCCTCGGCGGTCTCGGGCTGTGCGTTGGATATTGATGATGATGAGATTGATGATGATGCTGCTGATGATGATGAATATGATGATGACGATGATGATAACGATGATGATGACGACGATGATGATTATGTTGATGATGCTGATGATGACGATGATGCTGATATCGATGACGATGAGACTGATGCTGATGCTGATGCTGATGCTGATGCTGATGATGATGCTAATGATGATGATGTCTCGGGCTGTGTGATGGACATCAACTGAGCATTCTCTTAGGGCGGAGAGCTCAGGGTGAAATCCATATGGGCTTTTGCACCTCGAAAACCAATCCGTTCTGTGATTCACCTTTTGCAGATTCAAGCGATGAAATTCAATCGAGACGGCATCTCGTATTCCACCCTTTGCCCTCCACCCCAAAAAGATGCTCGGATCAAATTTGGCGCCATCGGAGCGCCCATGGTGCCACTTTGGGAGGCCCACGGGGCCACTTTGGGTGGGCCACTTTGGGGCGCCCCTGGACAGCCGCTTGGGCGGCCGTGTGTCACCGGGGCAGTGGTCCGGGCACGCCCGCGGGCTACTCCGATCTATATACAGATATACATGTTTATATATATAAACATACATACACACATGCATACATACATGCATAGATGCATGCAATACAACACAACACACTACAGAACACTGCAACATAAAGAACACTACACTAAATTACAGCACAGTGCAATGCAACACCATACAGTACAGCACATGCACTACATCAATTAAACACATGGCATACACTACAAGCATTGCATTACATTACAGTACATTGCATTGCATTACAACGCAGTACATCACAATACTTCTATTTCGTTACATTACATTCCATGTCAGACCATCCCATCCCATTCCATTACATAACATAACACTCCACTACATTACATTACACTACATTCCAGCAACTTACATTACATTCCATAAACATATACATACATACATACAAACAACCATACATACATCATCCATCCATACATCCATCCATCCGTCCATACGTACACGCATGCATGCATGCATTCGTACATACATAAACATCGGCATATATGTATAGTTGTATATGTGCATCGGTATATGTACACATACATGTATGTCTATACAAACAGATACAACTAGATATAGCGATACATATATATATATATATATATATATGTATGTATGTATGTATGTATGTATGTACGTATGTATGTATGTATGTATGTATGTATGTATGTATGTATGTATGTATGTAAACAACAGAGAAAACAAAGGAGAGACACACAGAGACAGAGAGAAAGAGAGAAGCCGCGCCGGGCCGACCCCGACAGGAATGTCCTTGCGCGCCTCGCCCGCGAAATCGCTGATATCGGACCAGGTCACGTTGAACATGCTCTCTGGCAGCATCTGCCTCGACGTGGGGGGCCCAACCCCCCACCGGAGCTCCTCCTGCCGGAGGCGGCCGCGGCCACCCGCACCGTGATCGTCCTCCTCCCGATGCCGTCGAGGACCGCGCGGCACGCGGGTCGGGCCGCCGCGGCCGGGGCCCCCCGCGGTCTGGCCGATTGCCCGCGCCGCTCGCCTCACGAGTCCCCGAGTCTCCGCCTGCCGCCCCTCCTCCTGCAAATCCTCCTGCTTCTGCTGCTGCTCCTCCGCGTCCTCCCCCCGCCTCTCGCTGCTGCTGCTGCTCCCCGGGCTCTCCTGCTCTGTTGCCTTTCTGGATTCCGTGGGGGTCCTCGTCGCCACGGCCAGATCCGCCACGTCCTCCGACTCATCGGCATCCTGCGCATGCCTCCACAAAGCAAGTGCGTAATATAATCAACTGTTTGGCCAGCGGGCCGCGAGGTGAGGTGTGTAAAAGCGATGTCAAGAGCAAAGCATTGATATCTTTCTCCTCCTCTTCCCCAGACCTCCGTGCGTCGCGATGAAATTATCACGGACTCTTGTTCAAAATGTTCGACCTTTGTTGACCGGTTTGGGACCTCGAGACTCGCAACACAGGTCCGCGACGAACAACGCATGCTTCACCCTCATACTCCTCCTCCTCCTTCTCCCCATTATTCTTCCCATGCTCCTCCTCCTTTCCTTCTCCCCTTCTCCTCCTCATCCTCCACCGACAACCCTCCTCCTCCAACTGTCCCTCCTCCCTTGCACGACATAACCGCTCAGCGTGGCAGTAATCTTCCCATGTGGCGCTAAGCACGCCCATCCTGAGAAAGACGTCGCCCGATTTCTCACGTGTCTTTTTGCACGCATGACAAGCAAACCGACTTGATGTGGCATATCCTGCAGCTCCATATGCGCGGTTCTTGTCTCGGCAGAAAGGGCTTGCCTTGCATCAAACGTGGCCGTGAGCCCGTGCTTCCACGCGTCGGCCACCTTGCGGACAGGTCGCCGCATATGAGCAGCAATGAGAATGACAATCTCGGAAAACTGCGTATAGCACTCAGGGCACCGGCACACCATTGTCTTGACGTGGTGCTGCCATTTGTTATCATGACACGTTCAATGTCAATACTCGAACACAAGTGTACGTCTGCGTGCATGCGTGCTTGTAGCTTGTGTGGCTGGTCGGACGTAGATGCGCACACATGTCAGCCCCTCCCCCGCCCGAACGCCCTTCTGACAGGAAGACGGCACGGATGAGGAACACGAGGGAGCATGGTAACCACGCGGCGGCAGCATGGCAACCATGCCAGAGGACAACTGCCAGCGCGCTGGCTGCGAGCGGGCTGGTGGGCGAAGCGCAGCGTCTGGAGCCCTGCGTGCGACACGCGGGGCCGTGCCCAAACCCACGGCTGTCCAACAACAAAACGCACGGGCCAAAGCGGAAAACCCAGGGCGGCAGCGGCTCGTGCCGGAGACCGGAGAAATAGCGGTGCGAAGGGGGGCACACACTGTCTTCCACCAGCGGACGGGAGCCCGGTGGCAGAGCGCAGGGGGACGGCACGACGACGACGACGAAGACGACGGACGGAGGGCTGCAGGGGGGCGCGGAGGAGGGCGAGGGCGGCACGCAGAGGCACACGGCGGTCCAGGCGGTGGGCGGCAGGCCATGCAGCGGCCGGAGCGGCCGAGGCCACGCGGCGGTCCATGGACCGCCACGTGGCGGGAGCGGCGCACGGGGGGCACGGGGCGAGGGCAGCCGAGGCCATGTGCTGCGAGAGGCAGGGCCCACTGGAGGGCGGGGGGGCACAGAGCCCTCGCCGTCCTGGCCCCACTCGGATCCCTCCCCGTCGTTTTTCTGCCACACTCGCCCCAGGCAAAATAGCGGCGGGAGGAGGGGGCAACTATTCGTGCCATGCCGATTTGTCGTACATTGGGAATCTCCAAACGAATCCGCGCCCCTGTGATCGCCTAGCTCCCATGCGTCGGAATTCACGCGCAAACCACGCCTTTCTCCTCCCCCGTCTTGTGCGCACCCGTAATCTCCCGGCCTCTTCATCGTACACCTTGCCACCTTGTCTGCCTCCTGCGGCCGCTCTACCTCAAACGCTGACACTCCAAATCCTTCAAGTGGTTTTCCCGCTCCACCTCCGACATTCCACTCTCCAGTCGCTACCTCGCAAACCCTCAGCCAACAATGGACAAGCCGGAGCACCTTGGAATAATGAATGGCCTCCGCATGCAACGGATTCGCTGACCACTCATTCGAGCTGGTGGTCCAATACGTTTTCCACTCGGCCATGTCCAGCTCAAGGAACTGCTTTTCCCGCGCACTTCCATGGCAAGTGCGCGGGTCCTCCCCTTTGTGCATCTAACATGCATCCCCTTTCCGAAAGTTCCTTCATCTTGGCTAAAGCTGACATGTCTGGGCGCTGTGGTGAGAACGAATCTGGGAGTGATTTGTTCGTTCTGACTTCATACGGGGAGATATTTACAGTTGCACGGAGGTGGCCAGGAGTGACTTCCCCCTTGTCAATGTTGTCCTGAATGGGGTATGCACTACCTATCCGACCACCCTTGGGGTGATAAGGAGGTTGGGGTGTGTGGGGAAGGAACCAACTGCTGGCAAATGCGATGGGTGCGATGAGGACCATGCTGGTGACGCGTCCTCGAGTGAGCGACGACGCGTGATGACGATGCCGTGCTGCTATGTTTTGTCACTATCGTCCCCGCTTTCGATCTCACTCGATCGATCCCACCATCGACCTCACAAGATGAATCACATTCGATCGATCACCCTATAGATCTCCCACTATAGATCTCGCTTTCGATCTCAGCATCGATCTCACTATCAACCTCACTATCGACTCCCCTATCGACCTCACTGTCGATCTCACAGCCGATGTCACCCTCACCCTCACTATCGATCTCACTGTCTGTCCCATTCTGGCGATCTCATTATCGACCTCACGATCGCCTTCGCTGTCGAGACCAGGGCGGGACACCCCCGGCCACCGCCCGCCCACCGCCGACGGAACACCGACGGGACGCCGACGGGACACCAGCGGGACACCCACGAGACACCACGGGACACCACGGCGAGACACCCGGGGCCACCGCGCCACTGCATCCAAATCGCCCCAGCAACGGCGGGGTCACTCCTCTCGCGAGCCCACGAAGCTTCGCCTCGACCGCACGCGCGACACGAGCACGAAACCGAGACCGAGGTCCTGGTGGGGGGCTCTCCGTTCCGCTGCGATCTCACCCCGACAGCTGCCGATTTCTTTGTACACTAGAGAGAACCAAGGAAAAAACTCTCTTGCACAGTCACGCCGAAAGCCGTCGTGGCAGCCTGGTTTTGAATCTGTAGAGGGAGAGAGTTTGTCCTGATTTGGCTCTATACATATACTAGAACAATCGCGCGCTTCGCGCGCGCTCAAGTTCTAGCTAGCTTCTTGGGGCCTCCTCGGAGCATCCTGGGCTGCTTCTTGAAGTCGTCATGGGACCTTCTTGGCATGTCTTCGGGGGCCTCTTAGAAAGAGTTTTGAAGCCTTATGGGAGCCGTCTTGGGGCCTCTTTTGAGCTTCTTGGGGGCCTCTTGGGGCCTCTTGGGGGGCCTCTTGGGGCCTCTTGGTGGCTTCATGGGGGCATCTTGGGGCCTCTTGGGGGCATCTTGGGGCGGAGAGCTTGATTTTTCAACTCGCGTTCCCTCTCTTGGGCCCCTCTTGGGGCCTTCTTGGGACCCTCTTGCGCCGTCTTGGGCGGCTCTGGGGCCGTCTCGGGGCTCTCTTGGGCCGTCTTGGGGCCTCTTGGGCCGTCTTGGAACGGTTTTGGGAGCCTCTTGGGCGGTGCTTCAGCGCCGGAAACACGAAACAGCGAGAATGCCAAAAACATTAAGAAAAAAACATGACTATCAACGATTTTGCTCTCGGGGAGCTCTTGGGCGGCATCTTAAATGCCTCTTGGGGCGTCTTGGGGGCCTCCGAGGCACTTTCAAACGCGTCGTGCGTCGCCGGAGACCCCTGGACGACGTCTGAAAGGGGGTGCCCCGAGACCGCCCGGGGCCGCCCTGGGACTGCCGTCTGAGGGCTCCCCGGGGCGATTTCAGGCCTGCCAGAGGCGGGCCCGCGCGCCGGGCCCCACAGTTGCGGTCGGGGTCCGGGCCCCCCGGCCCCCCGGGAGCAGGTCCCCCGCGTGGTGTGTCTAGTATACCGGGGAGAGCCCGGAGAGCTCGTCCTGCCCAGTGAGGACGCAAGCCGTCGTGCCAAGAGTCTGCGGGGGGTAGGGGCTCCCGCCGGGAGACGCCCCAATCGTCAGTGCTCAAGATGAATCACTTTCGCAACGGCAAGCAGCCTCCTCAGGAGCGACGAGCCTGCAATTCTGCGCGCATGCTCAGGTCTTCGGGCGACTCCGCCCCACGCCGTCGAGCAAAAGCCACGACGACCGCTTGAAAACCTGATGAAACCCGAGCTCGGATCGATCCAAGGAGAAGGGTACGGAAATTAGCGCGGGGAGGTCGAAGTGCAAGAAGAGAGAGAGAGAGAGAGAGAGACAACAAAAAGAGAGAGGACAGACAAATCACATAGGGATATATCTATATATACACATACATACATACATTACATTACATTACTTTACATCACATCACATCACATTACATTACATTACATTACTTTACATCACATCACATCACATCACATTACATTACATAACATAACATTACATTACATACATAGAGAGAGAGAGAGAAAGAGAGAGATATAGAGAAAAAAATAGAGATATAGATATATCCATATAATCAACATAGAGAGAGAGAGAGAGAACAAACAAGCACAACAACAACAACAACAACAACAACATCAACAACAACAACAACAATCATTTAAGACTGGGGACACTCCGTTCTCACCAGTGCCAGGGTTTTCATAGGAGGCGGGCAATACCCCCACTTTGTGGGGGGGCCGGTTCAAGCTCTACCAAGTTTCCAAACGACTCTTCGCCACCACCCACACCCAGCTTCCCGCCCTATGACGTTCGGACACTTCACTTCGTGGCCTGCGGACGACCTTGGCTACTACACTGACGCATGGGTACAATGACTTGTTGTGGTAACATTTTGTGGAAGCTAGCTTAGTATACGACTTATCCCCCTGTTCCAACACTGGACACCTGTACCGTTTTCCGACGTTTTTCCGTTTCTGTACCACACAAGCAAAGATTATTTTGAGTGGTACCACGTGCGTGGCGCCAGCATACCACAGGACTTGTTTCCGTTGTTGTTATATGCTCATTCTTGTTCTGTGGTTGTCGTTCCGGCCTCAATATGCAATACTGGCTCATTCGTTACGACATAGACGTGGCTACCTCTCTCTGGTTGGAGGTCCTGATGGTTGGTTGTCCCGATGGTTGTCGCGATGATTGTCCCGATGATTGTCCCGATTGTTGTTCCGATGGTTCTCCCGATGGTTGTCCCGATGGTTGTCCCGATCGTTGTCCCGATGGTTGTCCCGATGGTTGTCCCGATGGTTGTCCTGATGGTTGTGGTTGTCCCGATCGTTGTCCCGATGCTTGTCCCCATGGTTGTCCCGATGGTTGTTCCGATGGTGGTCCCGATGGTTGTCCCATGTCAGCGATGCCAGATCCTCACGCCCCCCGCCGGAGGAGGAGGAGGAGGAGGAGCAGGACAAGGCGCGGCGGCTCTGGACACATACGTGCTCTGGAAGCAACTTGGCATGCCGTTCGTGGACACCAAAAAAATACGTGTAGATTGTGCAAAGGCACCAACTCTTCCGCCACCCCCAAGCGCTGACATAAGGATACACGCACAGCCTCCAAACCAGATCTAGCCCGGGCGCGCGGGCCAACAACCCAGTTGTGGCCGAGCTTGCTATCCAGAGAAACCAAGGAACACAAGAACTCCCACTCCTGTTGCTCTAGGTGCTCGCTGGTCCAGTATTCGCCACGTTGCTCACGATAGCGACGATGCGCTACGAGCCGCTGCGTGGTCCTGCAATCCACGAGATACTGCGCCAATAACTGCTTTTTCACCTCCTCGGCCGAGACACCCTTCTGCAGCTGCTCCAGGACATACTCCCCGCATACGCGGCTGTGTATCTCCTCAGCATTCTCCAGTATTGCCAGCTGCTGGGAGGGCGCCTTCAGCCACCTCTCCAGGGAGAACAAATTGGCAAATACCCCGGTCTCCGCGCGATACTTGTCCACCAGCGCCCGCCCCCTCAAGCCTTCTACGTGATACCAGTACTGGAGGTCCCTGCGCGACAACGCGTAGACGGCGCAATTGCCATGTTTGGCACCGTCTCCGAGTCGATACTTGCCAAGCCACTCTCGCAAGGCATACTGACCCGCCTCATACCCCCAGGCCTTCAGACGCACCTGCATATTCGGGTAATTAAGGCCAAGGCCCAAGTCGGAGACCTGCCCTCGATACCGCTTGCCGCATGCCGCCTCTACAGCCTCACCCGTCAGCAGCTTTATACAAACCACATCTGTGGAGGAAGAAGCTGCCGTGGCCTGCTGCTTCGATACGGGCTCCTCCCAGTCGACCGCGGCAGGCCGTTTGCCCGCGCGGACAGATCCCGTGGCGGCTGGCCGTTTCAATACCACGCCTGCGACCTGCGCCGCCGGGCGCTTCAATACACGCCTGGTGACGGCCTGGGCGGATGAAGCCGCCGCCTGCACTGAGGAGCTCACCGACGCATACACATCGCACCACCGTCTCAACACCCCGTGGGACACCAAGACAGCTTTCCGTCGCATACGCAACGCGGTATGCAACGTGTGGCACTTCAGCCCTGGATATACCGCGCGCATGTGGTCACCAAGTGCCGCGTCGAGCTTTTCAGCCGTGTCGTACTGCAAAGGTCCAGAGTCAGGGTGATACTTCACGTACCATTGCCTCAAAACCATGCCGCTGACAGCAGCGGGAGGATCGCTCTCCGAGAGAAGCTGCGAGAGGACCTCCGCGGCGGCCTCATCGGCGAAGCTCTCCCGATACTGATTGAGTCGAAGACGCTGGCCTATACAGTCCTCCACAGCTTGGGCAGTGTTCAATGCTCCCTTGTCGCCCCACTCCGTGCTGAGCCACTTCTGGCATACCCTGGCGTCAGCAGATACAGATAAATGTCCCAGGAGCCACTGCTTCAACACGGCCCCGTCAGTAGTCCCCTCGGGCATGTCTGTGCGAATACGTTCTCCATACCAGGTCTCCAGATGGCCAGCGTTCTGCACTTTGACAAGCGTCTCTTTGGAAGAATACTGCAGTAGCCACATCTTTGCGACCTGATCTGTCACATACAGTGGTGGATCCAACTGTCGGAGCGCCCCGCATAATTTGAAAGCTGTATTATACTCGATGCCCAGGTGGCGGATGGCAGAACCGTGCTGCTCCTCCAGCTCCTGGGCGCTAGAAATACTAACCTTGCCAGGCACAACCCGATACTTGCCCCACCAAGTCTTGCACGCCTGGTGACTGACCTGGATACCCTTTGCAACGAGCGCCTGATGCAAATAATACGGGCTCTCGCAGTCGGCCAAGGGAGGCCGCGACAGCTCCGGGCCATACTGCTCGTCAAGGGCTTTCGCCGTCAAAGCCATGGACCATCCAAGAACACAGGCGATACCTTGATCCGAGATGGCTACGGATGTGCCAGTGATCAGTCGGAGGCTTCCTGGGGCCGCTTGGGGTCCTCTTGGGGAAGGGGGGAAGCCTCCTGGCGCCGCTTGGGGTCCTCTTGAGGGGCTTTGGGGGGCTTCTTGGAAGCATCTTGGGGCCTCTTGGGGGCTTATTGGGTCCTCACGGCGGGCTCTTGGGGCCTCTTGAAGGCCTCCTGGGGCAACCTATGGCGCAACCAGTAGGGGGACGTTTTATTCTCGGCGGCCGAGGGCGCAACCTATGGCGCAACCAATAGGGGGACGTTTTATTCTCGGCGGCCGAGGGCGCAACCTATGGCGCAACCGCAAGGGATTGTGGCCCCTGGCAGGCGCGCGAACCCCGTTGCAAGAGCGTGCGAAAGTAGCTCGCGCGAGCTCATGTAACATAAATGTTGGAAAACCATTGGTTTTTTTAGGATTCGGACAGCGCGCGCGGGTAGAAATTTTGAAAAGTCGTGCAGGTGTTTTTCGAGGACCTACGGTGCGATTCGTGTGATTTTATGATGCGCGGTGCTAAAATTCTTAAGAAGCCCAATGGTTTTTGGAGATTTCGGCGTGCGCGCGCGAAGAAAAAACGAATGTGTCCCGCATGGTATTATTTGACAGGGATGATGGCCCTGGCAGGTGCGCAACCGTTGTCGCAGAAGTTCGAAAAAGTTGCTCGCAAAAGCCCGTTTGACAGAAATGTTTAAAAAGTGTTGGGTTTCCTACGAATCCGCAAGAGCGCGCGGGATGAGATTTTGACAATTTTTTGTTGAAAAACCATTGGTTTTTTGATGTTTTTATGTTAAAATCGCTGCGAACACTAAGGTTTTGGAAGGATTTCGTCTTGCGCGCGCGAATGTCCACTTTACCTTATTTTTTGCAAGGGATTCTTGAAATTTGATTATATTAGAACAAGAAATGTCATTTTCTATTGTTTTTTGCAAGGGAAAGCGGATTACAACAAAACAACCGGATCCTGTACACACCCTCTTTTCTGAGGCTTCCTCACGAAAATGATGAAAATGTAGCTGCGGCCTAGGCGGCGCAGGGGGGGCGCGCACCAGGGGGCCCAACAATAATTATTCTTTAGAATAAATAATGTTCAACAACAACAACAACAACAATTACTAGCACGTGGGGACACTCCGTTCTCACCAGTGCCAGGGTTTTCATAGGAGGCGGGCAATACCCCCACTTTGTGGGGGGGCCGGTTCAAGCTCTACCAAATTTCCAAACGACTCTTCGCCACCACCCACACCCAGCTTCCCGCCCTATGACGTTCGGACACTTCACTTCGTGGCATGCGGACGACCGTGGCTACTATTCAGGGCCCCGCGGCCGACGACGACGGCGTGCGCGCGCGAAGAAAAAACGAATGTGTCCCGCATGGTATTATTTGACAGGGATGATGGCCCTGGCAGGTGCGCAACCGTTGTTGCAGAAGTTCGAAAAAGTTGCTCGCAAAAGCCCGTTTGACAGAAATGTTTAAAAAGTGTTGGGTTTCCTACGAATCCGCAAGAGCGCGCGGGATGAGATTTTGACATTTTTTTGTTGAAAAACCATTGGTTTTTTGATGTTTTTATGTTAAAATCGCTCCGAACACTAAGCTTTTGGAAGGATTTCGTCTTGCGCGCGCGAATGTCCACTTTACCTTATTTTTTGCAAGGGATTCTTGAAATTTGATTATATTAGAACAAGAAATGTCATTTTATAGTGTTTTTTGCAAGGGAAAACGGATTACAACAAAACAACCGGATCTGGATCACATCGTTTTACCTGAGGCTTCCTCACGAAAATGATGAAAATGTGGCTGCGGCCTAGGCGCGGGGGGGGGGGCGTGCACCAGGGGGCCCAACAATAATTATTCTTTAGAATTAATAATGTTCAACAACAACAACAAAGAGCAAGGGAGAGAGGGGAATGCCCAGGAGGTAAGACGGAGCGCTCCCGCCAGATCCTGAAGCCAGAAGCCTCTCCCCCTCCCCCGCTGCGTGCCCCCCCTCCCATGAAAGCCCCCACGAAGCCCCGAGAGGCCCCACAGAGGCCCCCGAGAGGCCCCCGAGAGGTTCCACAAAGGGCCCCCAAACGAGTCATGCAAAGGGGGGAGACGCCCCGTGAGGGGAGGGCCCCCGACCACAGCCCAGGCACGAGGGTCGGGCGCCCGCCGGGATCGATATGACCCAAGTGGCATCACTCGGGCGCCACTCGGGTCAGCCGAGCGGGGGATCTTCGATCTACCCCGGCACTGGAATTCCCGTCGGTTCGACGTGCCAACAAAAAAAACCGTGCAATGTTCGTAGGTGTACGAACAGTGCACGTGATTGTTCGAACAGTTGCGGCGAAGAAAACAATTTTGGGGCAATTCCGTGCTGTAGTCGCTACCCAGCTCGAGTCGTACAGCTTGCATCCACGAGGGAAGCATCCCAAGAAGCTTCCGAGGGGCATCCCAAGAAGCCCCGACATGCATCCAGGCACCTCTGTCCCACAGCCCTGGCACGGCGGCGGGAGTGGCCGATGGCCACTGGATGCCTCCAAATGCAGGGAAGCGTGACTCCTCAGGAAGTGCCAACAGTGGAGGAGACGCGGCCGCAAGCAACCAGTGGCCGTTCGCGGGCAGAGTCTGGGAAGAAGCCCATGGCTGTTCGAAAAATAAGCTGGGCATTCGGCAGCGTTCGCGCTGCAAAAGAGCAGCCTGCTGGCGCCTGGGGAGACCCGAGGTTTCTTCTCCAGTCGCCGTTGGCGCCCGATTGCAAGGGCCACCGTTCCAAGATAAATCCGGGGCGCGACAACGATCGGGGGGAGAAATCAAGGGCCCCTTGGGCCACACAATCTCTAAACGCTCTGGGGGGGGGGTCACCTGGCATCGCTTGGAACGCAGATGATCTCGGTATGATTTCGGCGGGTCCGAGCCAGGACGACGAACTGCCGCCGCCACGGTGGCGCATGTGAAGCCGCACCTCATGAAACAGATCCCCAGGACGCTCTCAGCCTGGCCTTAAGTCGGGCATGTCCTCCAACAAGGGGATTTTGAACGAAAAATAAAAAAAAACTCCAGAAGTCCTCAGAAATTGTCAAAACAAATATTCACGGAATCGTCTCCTGACTATGTTTTTTTACTATCTTTGAACATTCCTCCTGTAGAGGGACAAGCCCGACTTAAGCCTGGCGCCGCCCAGGCAAACACAGACGAGCCACGTCCAGTCCAGCGCCTGCCGCCCCAGGCTTCCAGACGAGCCAAGCCACATCGAACGGCATCGAGACCAATCTGCTTCAGAACCCTGCAGCCCCGCCCAGCCCAGACAAGTGGGCCAAGCAAAACTCGGACGCAGTGCACGCGGTCCCTTGGTTTAGGTCAAGCATGTCCCTCTACGGGCCGATTTGGACGGAAATCTTAAAGGTAGGCCAACAATGCGCCCATCATCATCAAACATAGTCAAAAAATCGTCACCTGACTATTTTTTATAATTTTCGAATATTCCTCCTGTAGATTGGCGGCGCGCACAAGGGGGTGGAGGGAGGGGGGAGGGCTTCTTAGAAGGAGGCTGCTTCTTAGAAGTCGCCGGCCTTACATCTATAGACAAGGCCCGCGCATTCTAAGCAGGGGTGCTTCTGAGAAGCCCTCCCCCTCCCCCCACCCCCCTCTGCGCGTGGCTGAGTAGAGGGACATGCCCGACTTGACTTTCGGTGCGCGGCCCCAGCGCACACCTTCGACACCCGGAAACCGCGAGAGCACCTCGCTGCGGCGTGCGCCTGCCATATGAGCATCCGCTGCCCTCCCCGGGGCGGTGCGCGCAGAGGGGGTCTGTGATGGGCCTGTTTTCCACCACCACCACCATAACTTGAAGAGGGGAAGGAGAAGGATGATGATGATGATGATGATGATGATGATGATGATGATGATGATGATGATGATGATGATGATGATGATGATGATGATGATGATGATGAGAGGAGGAGGAGGAGGAGAGAGGAGGAGGAGGGAAGAGGAGGAGGAGGAGGAGGAGGAGGAGGAGGAGGAGGACCCCCTCCCCCTCCAACTTATGGAGGTGGTGGTGGAAAACATGCCCATCAGGTCTGGGGGAGGGGGGGAAGGCTCCTTAGGAGGCTGCCTCTCAGAAGGCACCAGCCTCGCGTCTACATGCAGGACCCGCGCCTTTTATCAGGGGGAAGGCTTCTCAGAAGGAAGCTGCTTCTCAGAAGGCGCTGGCGTCACGTCTACAGACAAGGCCCGCGCCTTCCATCGGGGGCGCGCACGCATGTCGCCAAATCCATGGATCGAGGGAGGTGCCCTCCCCAAAATGCGGCCGGTGCCGCCTCGTTCGGCGGCGGAAATCCGCGATTCCCATGCACACGGGACCTGTCGCTAATCCACGCCCCCTTGATCCATGCTTGCGCTCGCCTGATCCTAAACACCAGGGGTGCTTCTAAGAAGCCTCCCCCCCTCCCCCTACCCCCTTTGCGCGCCGCCGGCTCCCGCCGCGTACGGCATCGACCAGCGCTGAGAGGTATGGCTCACGTTGAGGACGCCCTCCAAATTTCCTCCCCTGCCCACCCGGAGGCCGCCCGAGGGGGGCACGGCCCCCGTCTCTCGCGGGCGGCAGCGGGGGGGGCCAACAAACGGAGACTCGGCCTCCTCCTCCTCCTCCTCCTCCTCCTCCTCCGTAGCCGTTTTGGCTCAGGCCCCGCCTGGGATCCCGCCTGGGGCCCCCAGGGGGTGCGAGAGCCCCGCTGCCGGTCTGGCTCCGCGGCGCCGTCCCTCGCGCGCGGCTCGCCATCGGGCCGCGCGGTCGGCGCTGGCGCGCGGCGAAACATCCGTCGCTTCGACGGTGCCGTCGGCCGCGCCCCCCCTTCAAGACTTCCCTCGCCTCCCCGGGCCGCGCCCGGCGTGATCGCGCGGCGAGAGCACTGGGCGCCGGCGCCGTCCGTGGCGAAGGCGTCGCAGCCTCGGCAGCTGCGTGCCGCGCGGCGTGGCGGCAGCACAGAGATTCGCTTCGGCTCTCCTCGGAAGCAAGGTGCACGACCTCGACAGCCGGGGGGGTGCGCAACTAATGAGTGGCACAGAGAAGGAGGAGGAGGAGGAGGAGGAGGAGGAGGAGGAGGAGGAGGAGGAGGAGGAGGAGGAGGAGGAGCTCGTGAAGGCCGACGGCATCGCGGAGGTGCCGAGCGAGAGCCACCAGCAGGCAGCTGAGGCATCGTGGAGCGCCGGCTCGTCGAGGCGCTCCCTGCGGGACTCGGTCAAGGAAGGGCACTGCTGCGGTGCTCGCGGGCTCGGATGTGGTGGCCCTCGGCGTGGACAGCGAGGACGCGGCGTCCGAGGACGTCCAGTTTTCCTGGGGGTGCCGCCGTGCGACACGGTGAAGTGGTAACTCCGAAGTCGAGACCAAAACGACCCCAAACCCGAGAGGACGCGAGGGTACCCTTGCCCAGAGGCGCGACCTCCCCGTGGCGCGACGCGCCCGGCACGCCTCTGGTATGGCCCCAACGTCTGCGAAAATGATTGGACACAAGGGTACCCTCAGTCCGAACACGCAGGGGACACGAGAAGGGATAAGGGATGGACAGGACACAACGAGCACTCTTGTTTTGCAGGGTCGACCTGCCAATGCGCCCCGACTGTACTCTGTGTCCCTCAATAATAGTTATGGGGGTACCTGTAGTCCGGGGGAGGGGTACCTGTAGTCTGGGGGGGGGTACCAGTAGTCTGGGGTTGGGTACTTGTAGTCCGGGGGAAGGGTACCTGCAGTCGGGGGGGGGACCTGCAGTCTGGGGGGAACGCGTGTTCACGCGTCAACGCACGCGTGGATGTAGTCCTGGGGAGGTACCTGCAGTCCAGGGGGGGGTAGTCCGGGGGGGTGTACCTGTAGTCCGGGAGTCCGGGGGGGGGTATCTATAGTCGGGGGGGGGACTGTAGTCCGGGGAGAGGGTACCTGTGGTCCAGGGACCCAGAGCTATATTGAGGGACACAGAGCACACCCTGGCTGATGCAGCAGAGCAGGACTGGGAGAAGGCCTTCGACTCGGCTCTGGCGCGCGGGGCGCAGCAGGCCGCGAGAGGCGTCGAGCAGAGGGCGCGGGCGGCTGCGACGGCAGAGCTCGGCGAGCAGCTCGGCGAGGGCAGGAGGTCGATCGGCGCGGCGGTCGCGGAGGGCACCCTCGGCGCAGGGCCGCTGCCGCCCCGTGTGGGCGCTGGGCTGGCGACCCGAGGCACGGCAACAAGCGGATCGATCCCGAGGGGGCCGTGGGCGGGCAGGCGTCGGAGCGCCTAGGGCGCCACGGGGAGCAGAAAGACGAGGGCAGCGGCAGGGGCTGCGGCGAGCGTGAGACCTTCATCGCCGAGGGCGGCTCGGAGTGCAGGGGCCCCGAGCGCGGGACCTTCGCCGAGGGCGGCTCGGAGTGCAGGGGCGCCGAGCGGGAGACCTTCCTCGAGGGCGGCTCGGAGTGCGGGGGCTGCCGAGCGTCGTCGACGAGGGCGGCCTGGGCACGGCGAGGGCGGTCGGCACCGTTGCGGATGGTGCTCCACGCCGCGGGCGGCGACGGCCAGCTCAAAGACGAGGCCCGCGTCGACGAGGAGTCCGAGGAGGTCGCCAAGGGCAGCGAGGACGCTCGCAGCCAGTGCGGTACGACGTGGGCAGCGTCGACCAGTTCGAGGCGGAAGGCGACGCAACCATCGAGGAGATCCGCATCCCGTACGGCCTTGAAATGAAGAAGCCAGCGATGCAACTTGCAACTGCTCTACAAGCGCCACGGGGTGACCCGCGAGCTCTCGGCGTGCGAGAGCTGGTTGAAGGGCGCGGGCAGCAAGATCAGCCTGTCCGAGGACGCGGACGGCACCAAGGACACGAAGCTCACGGAGACGTGAGCGGGGGTGGGTCGGGACACAGCGTCCCTATCTCCTGTTCCTGCTCCTGCTCCTGTGCCTGCTCCTCCTCCTCCTCCTCCTCCTCCTCCTCCTCATCATTATCCTCATCATCATTTTTTGTCCTCCATTCCTTCTCCTTATAGATAACTCCTCCCTGTCGCACCCCGAGGCCAGCTTTTAGTGCAGGCCGGGTGTTTCGCCTGAGACTTCCCCACCACTTATGACTCTGAAGCTGAAAAAATGGCAACAGTTTCACAGATGGAGGGCGGGTGGTGTTCAAAATGTGGCTCTCGCCTAAGCGCCGCGCACCTTCGTTTTAAACATTTGCACGAGTTTCACGGATTGAAGGCGGGTGGTTTTCAAAATGTGGCTCTCGCCTCAGCGCCGCGCACATTCGCTTGGATGAAGTTGCAAGAGCTTCACGGATTGAGGGCGGGCGTTTTCAAAATGAGGCTCTCGCCCATTCGTTTTAAAACGTTGCAAGAGCTTCACGGATTGAAGGCGGGTGGTTTTCAAAATGTGTCTCTCGCCTAAGCGCCGCGCACATTCGTTCTAAACATCAGCAAGAGTTTCACGGATTGAGGGCGGTTCCTATTCAAAATGTGGCTCTCGCCTTAGCGCCGCGCACATGCTTTTTAAACATTTGCCAGAATTCCACGGATTCCCAAACGGCGTTTTGGAACAATTCAGGATTATGCGGGCGCAACAATTATGTTGATTCGCTGTGCTGAAATCCCAAAGATGGCGTTCCGGCGCGATTCTGGATCGTCAAGACGCAGCAGGCAGGTTGATACGTGGCGTTGAAATCCCGAGAACAATGTTTTTGGCACGCTGCAGGATCTTCAAACTCTTGTCTTCCAGCGAGGCAGTTCCTTCAATGGAGAATGAACCTTTGTAGGGGCCTATGAAGAGGGAGCTCCTCCTCCTCCTCCTCCTCCTCCTCCTCCTCCTCCTCCTCCTCCTCCTCCTCCTCGGGGCGCAAGGAATGACCATGCCTCGACGAGTGCGTGGGGGGGGCAACGTGGCCGACACTGGCCGCATGCCGCACCCCTGCCTTCGAAGCTTCCCTCTCCCAGTCCCCCCCTCTCGGACTGCCCTGGTGCTCTTCGAATCAGGGCAGGTGTGTCGGAGGCCCTTCTCCTCCTGCCTCTTCGTGCTGCTCCTCCTCCTCCTCCTCCTCCTCCTCCTCCTCCTCCTCCTCCTCCTCCTCCTCCTCCGCCTCGTCTTCGCAACCACGCATCCCACCCCAGAGAAGAAGCACTCCATGCCACAGACCGCGACGCGCGCGGCGCGGCCATCTCTGGGCCCCTGGCGGGTGACCGCAGATCCTCTCGGGGGCGCACTGACCCAGGTCAACGCAAACCCGGGGTCAGTCAGGCATTGCAGGATCCTGCAGAACCCTGCAGGATCGACCCTGCACGCAAGCCTGGGTCAAGGACACGCCTGGCTCAGCAGGCTCCTGCGAGATCTGGCTCTCTGACAGACCACCCCCGTTTGCCTCGACCCCCGTCCGTTGAGCCCCGACCCTCCCCCAACGCTGGGGAGGAGGAGGAGAAGGAGGAGAAGGAGGAGGAGGAGGAGGAGGAGGAGGAGGAGGGAGGAGGAGGAGGAGGAGGAGGAGGAGGAGGAGGAGGAGGAGGAGGAGGAAGAGGGAGGAGGAGGAGGAGGAGGAGGAGGAGGAGGAGGAGGAGGAGGAGGAGGAGGAGGAGGAGGAGGAGGAGGAGGAGGAGGAGGAGGAGGAGGAGGAGAGGAGGAGGAGGAGGAGGAGGAGGAGGAGGAGGAGGAGGAGGAGGAGGAGGAGGAGGAGGAGGAGGAGGAGGAGGAGGAGGAGGAGGAGGAGGAGGAGGAGGAGGGGGAGGAGGAGGAGGAGGAGGAGGAGGAGGAGGAGGAGGAGGAGGAGGAGGAGGAGGAGGAGGAGGAGGAGGAGGAGGAGGAGGAGGAGGAGGAGGAGGAGGAGGAGGGAGGAGGAGGAGGAGGAGGGAGGAGGAGGAGGAGGAGGGAGGGGAGGGAGGGGGAGGGAGGGAGGGAGGGAGGGAGGGAGGGAGGGGAGGGGAGGGGAGGGAGGGAGGAGGGAGGGAGGGGGGAGGGAGGGAGGGAGGGAGGGAGGGAGGGAGGGGAGGAGGAGGGAGGAGGAGGAGGAGGAGGAGGAGGAGGAGGAGTAGGAGTAGGAGTAGGAGGAGGAGGAGGAGGAGGAGGAGGAGGAGGAGCGGGAACCGTCCAGCCAGGGGGCCACCCATGGGCTGGGCATCGCAGGCCGCGCGCGACGGAGACCGGCCGATCTCTTGGCCCCGTGACCGCTCCTGGCCCTCCGACGCCAGGGCTCCCTCCTCGCAGCGCGCAGCCCCGCTGGAGGCCTGGGCCTCTGTTTGGGGGCTGGCCTCCTGCAGCAGGGGCTCGACCACAAGGAGCCTTCCACGAGAGAGACCCAACCCCGAGACCCCAGGACGTCCGTGGTCTTTTGGTGTGGACACGGCACGCCTTCCGTCGCAAAACCATCGCAACCCACGAGAGAGGCCTGGGCCTCTTCTTTGATGGGCCCATTTGCCAACACCGCTACCAGAAGTAGGAGCGGGAGGAGGAGGAGGAGGAGGAGGAGGAGGAGGAGGAGGAGGAGGAGCAGGAGAAGGACGAGGAGGACCTCCTCATCCTCGGCTCTCTTAGGGCCATATTGGACCCCTGTTGTGCCCTTTTGGGGCTCTCTTGGACTGCCTGGAAGCCCTCAGATGGTTGTGGGGCGATTTGGGAGCCTCCCAGGCGGTCTTGGACGCACGGAAGACCGCAACCCCAAAATTCACCAAAAACAAAGAGAACATCAATGAATTTTGTCTTGGGAGTGCTCTTGGAGGCCTCTTGGCACGTTTTGGAGCGGGGTATTATGACGGCTTCTAGGGGGTCGTCGTCGTGGACCGTATTGGGGCTCTCTGGGGTCGTTTCGAGAGCGCGCGCGCCGGAACGCCTGGAACCCGTCTGGGGCCGTCTTCGGGCTCTCGTGAGGTTCTCCCTGGTCGTCTGGAGGGTTGCCCGGAGGCCCGGGGAGGGCCAAATTCGTTAGGGGGGGGATTTTTCTGGCGTCCCCGGCCCTTTTTCAAATATGAGGAGGAATATACACACATACACACATACACACATACACACATACACACATACATACATCCATACATCCATACATCCATACATCCATACGTCCATACATCCACACATCCACACATCCATACATCCATACATCCACATATACATACATCAACACATCAATACATACATCCATCAATACAGGCATGCATACATACATACATCCATACCAACACACATACACATATACATACATACATACATACATACATACATACATACATACATACATACATACCTACATACACACACATACATACATACATACACATACATGCATACATACATACGTACATACATACTTACTTACTTACTTACATTACATTACATTACATTACATTACATTGCATTACATTACATTACATTACATTACATTACATACATGCATGCATGCACGCATGCATGTATGCACCCCTATACATACATACATACATACATACATACATACATACATACATACATGCATGCATGCATGCAGACAGACAGACAGGCAGGCAGGCAGGCAGACAGACAGACACACATACATGCATACAAACATACATGCGTGCATGCATATATACACACATACACATACATACATCCATACATACATACACACATACATACATACATACATACATGCATGCATGCATGCATACATACATACATACATACATACACATATACATACAAACATGCATGCATACATACATACACATATACATATACACATACACATACACATACACATACACATACACATACACATACATATACATATACATACACACATACATACATATATTCATATATACATATACATATACACATATACATATACACGTACACACATGCATACACACATACATATATGCATGCATGTATACATACATGCATACATACACATATACATACATGCATACAGGCATGCCTATAAATATATATATATGTATCTCTAGGCGTGCATGCATGCATGCAAACATACATGCATACATAGATACATGCATATATACATACATCCGTGCATACATACACACATACCTGCATACATTCACGCATGCATGTACTCATACATACATGCATACATACATACATACATGCATGCATGCATGCATGCACCCATACATACATCCATAGCTACATACATCCATCCATCCATCCATACCTACATACATACATACATGCATGCATGCACACATACATACACACCTCCAGACATCTATACATACATAAATGCATACATGCATGCATGCATGGACGCATGCATGCACACATACTACATACATACATACATACATACATACATGCATGCATGCGTACATGCCTGCCTGCCTGCCTGCCTGCCTGCATGCATGCATGCATGCACACACACACACACACATACATACATGCATGCATGCATGCATACATACATGCGTGCGTGCATGCATGTATGCATACATGTACACATCCATTCATCCATGCATACATACATGCATGCATGCATGCATACATACATGCATACATGCATGCATACATACATGTGCATATATGAATATGTATGTGTATATTTATATATATATATATGTAGAGAGGGAGAGAGAGAGAGAGAGAGAGACAGAGAGAGAGAGAGAGATGCATCCTCAACACCTTCCTGGACGCCCCCGAGCGCTGGCGGCGGGGCCCCGTGTGGCACCCGGAGGAAGGCCCCGAGAGCTGCCCGGAAGGGCCCGGCGGGCCTCCCGGAGCCTGCTGGCGAGGCCCGCGCGCCCTCCCCGCACCGAGGGCCTCGGGGGCCGCGTCACAGAGCATGCGAGTTGCCGTGGGCGAACTCGGGGGCGGCAGCGCCCAGGAGAGAGGAGAGTCAGCGAGTGCACGGTGGGCCCTCCGTCTGCGGGCCTCGCGGCACCCTGGCGTGGGAGGGAGGGAGGAAGACTGCGGCGCCCCGGGGGCCGAGCGCAGGGCGAAGCCGATGATCGGGGGGGAGAGAGGGCATGAATGCCACGCCGCCGCGGGGGCCCCCAGGGCGAGTGCAGGACGCGCGGGGTGCCCTGGTGCGCGGGAGCGAGCCCGAATCAACTCTTCACTGGTCAACAGGGAGCGGAGCAGGGCTCAGAGGGCACGGCAGAGTACCCTTCGCCGCGGCGCCGCGGGCACGGCGCCGATAATCGAAACTCCAAAATCGAGACCGAAGCGACCCCAAACCCGAGAGGACGCGAGGGTACCCTTGCCCAGAGGCGCGACCTCCCCATGGCGCGACGCGTCCGGCACGCCGCCGACATGGCCCCAACGTCTGCGAAAATGACAGGACACAAGGGTACCCTTAGTCCGAACACGCAGAGGACATGAGAAGGGATGGACAGGACACAAGAGTACCCTTGATTTTGCAGGGTCGACCTGCCAATGCGAGCCGACTGTACTCCCCCGTTCTTCGTCCGAAACAAACAACCCGCATCGACAGTAGCAGGCCGATGGGGCCCTGGGGGCCCCCTCGGCGGCGTGACATTGATATTCTTTCGCCCCCCCGAGATGACAAGGGGACTTGGGACGTACGGACGTGATGTAGCATTGTCGATGCATCTTGGGCTTACTTTGGTTACAGTAGGGGCCCATCCACAAGAAATCCAACCCTGAGATCCCAGGACGTCCATCGATTTTGGGTGTGGGAACGTCACGCTTTCCATAGCAAAACCACCCAAACCCGAGAAACATTGGATAAACAAAGCAAGCCCAAGATGCATCGACAGTGCAACATCCCGCCCGCGCGTCCCAAATCCCCTTCTCATCAGCGCCTACAGTCAACCCGCATAGTCAGGAGGGGCAACCTTCCCAAGGATACACGTGCATCCTTGCCTCCCTGGGCCATCCTTGGCCGCTTTCGTTGGCCGCGCCCCGCTCGGAAAGCTTCGAAATGGCCTTCCAAGGCCCTTGCAGCCTTATCGTGCATCCTTATGATACGGGCGCACTGTAAACCCAAGATGCATCGACAGTGCTACATCACGCCCGCACATCCCAAGTTCACTTCTCATCAGCACCTGCAAGTGGAGACCCGTGTCAAGAAACACCCTGCTTGCCTCCAGGGTGCCCTCCTCCACTTTGGCGTTAGAACTAAAACGTACAACAAGGACGGGTGGTGAGGATGCAAGACCCTTGGAGGCCGAAATTGGGATTCTTTTTGGGCGGCGGGCGAGCAATGACATCGGCAAAGGACGGGACGCACAGGCAAGGACACAAGGTTACCCTAGATGAAGACGCGCGTCCATACTTGGTGCGTTTATTGCAGGCAAACTTAGACTAACTGGTCCTCCTCCTTCCCCTCCTCCTCCCGTCTCTTCCTCCCGCCTCCTCCTTCCATCCTCAGCCTCCCCCTCCTCCCCCCATCCTCCTCACCCCAGACCTCCCAAACTCAGCTTTTGAGTCAGCACCCATGTGAGCGGCGGACAAGAGTGATCTTTCGGTGGCAATTCACGGGAGCCTCCCATACCATCTTCCGCGACGCCGGAGGCGCTGGCGGAATGCCAACAGTTTATGGTTATGTCGTTATGTCATTTTGTTTGCTCTTCGAATCCCGCAAGATCCTGCAGGATCCTGCTCCCAAGCCCAAGTTGCAGCCTGGCCCTGCAGGATCCTGCAAGATCCGGCGCTCCGACCGACCACCGTGTGCATGTGCATGCCATGACAATGGGCACTCTAGACTCTAATCGTTCTATCATTGAATCAGAACTGTCTTTCAGATTTCTTCTACATGCTTCAGCCATGCACGAAACATGATTTAGAGCATGCTTTGGCACTTTAGAAGCATATTTCTCAAACATGGTTTAGGCATCTCGAAATTACTTGGCAGCATGCCTCCTCTCCATTGCTTGTCTTCCACAGCGGTGTGCACTGACCCCTGATGGGCCTGTTTTCCACCACCACCACCACCACCACCACCACCACCATAAGTTGGGGGGGGAGGGGGTCCGCCTCCTTTTCCTCCTCCTCCACCTCCTCCACCTCCTCCTCGTCCTCCTCCTCCTCCTCCTCCCTCCCCCCTCCAGCTTATGGTGGTGGTGGAAAACAGGCCCATCAACCCCGACTCTCGAGCCCCGGCGCTGCCCGAGCCCCCCCGCGCCCGGGCCCGCCGCCCCTCCGGCTCTCGCCGCGGTGAGCACCAGCTCGCGCTCCCTTGCGCCGAGCGACGGGAACGTCTCGCGGCAGGAGTCCTCGTACGCCTCGGGTGGAGCAGGGACCGGCCGTCCCGGCATTCCTGCAGGCCTACCACGAAGTATTCTTAGAACCCCCCAAAACGTGCCAAGAGCAAGCACAATGTGTCCTGAGAACAGACGCCCGATGAGTTAAGGCAAGGCACTCCCGGCCAGAAGCGTTCTGAGAAGATTCCGTGCAAGCCTCCAAAGGTTCCTAGAACATTCTTTGGTGGGCCTTCAGGCGAGCCAGGACGCTTCGCCACTGCTTGATCGGGCCGCGCGCGCCAGCTGGGCAGCCTCGCCGCGTGCTCCGGCCTCCTCTGGCCGCCCCCTCCCCGCCCGTGACTCTTCTGCGTGCCCGCAGCCACAGGTGCGGCCCGCCGGCCCCCCGAACGCGTTGTGTGCGGTCGCCCTCGCCGCCCCGGCGGCCTCGCACACCCCCGCCCCGTTCACCCCTCGGACCAGCAGGCGGACCCCCCCAGGGAGCCCTCAGGATGCCCCAGGAGACCCCAAACGGGCCCAGAAGAGGCCCCCAGACGGCCCCAGAGAGGCCCCAAAACGGCCGACAAGAGGCTCCCCAGAGGCTTCCCAAGAGACCCCAGCAGGCATCCAAGAGGCCTCTGACACACAACCCAGGTACGGTGGTGGCATGGGCCGAAGGCCACTAGATCCGCCGCCCCCTTTTGATTTATCAAGGGGGTGCCTGGCGTGTTAAACCCTCTCGGTGTTGGTTTTGGTTCTTTTTCCCAAAGAACTCCCCCTGGGGCTTCGGCCCGTCCCGCCGGCCAACCGGAAAATCCCCCAAACGCGTCCATCGTGCCTATGCTTCCTCCAGTTGGCCCAAGATGGCGTCCAAGACGGCCGAACATGGCCCAACATGGTCTTCAAGACGTCTCCAAGGCGGCCCAAGATGTACCCAAGACGGTCTACGACGGCCCAACAGGCCCACAAGAGGCCTCAAAGACGGCCCAAGAGCACTCCAAGACGTTCTCCAGGAATGCCTGAAAGGGCCAAAATCATTAATTTTCTTTGGGCTTTTGAAGGATTTGGTCATTTGCGCCTTTTCGGCTGTCCGACGGCCCAAGACGGTCCAAGAGGCCCCCAAGATCGCCCAAGAGGCCCCCAAAAGGGCCCCATGACGGCCCAAGTGGCCCCCAAGACGGCGCCAAGAGGGCCCCAAGACGGCCCAAGAGGCCTCCAACACGCCCAAGATGGCCTCCAAGAGGCCCAAGATGGCCTCCAAGACGGCCCCGAAGCGCCCCAAGAGGGCCCCAAGTCGGCCCAGAAAGGCCCCCAAGACAGCTCCCGACGGCGTCAGACGTGCCAGGAACCCACCAAGATGGCCGAAGTTGGCTCGAAGCTGGCCCAAGACGGCCCAAGAGGCCCCCAAGAGGGCCTCCAGGAAGGCCAGAAGAGGCCCAAAACACTGATGTTCCTAAAGTTTTTGACGGATTTGACATTTGCTTCTTTTCGGTCTTCTGACGGCCCGAGACGGCCCAAGAGCCCCCAAAGATCGCCGAAAGATCGCCCAAGAGGCCTCCAAAATGGCCCCAGAACGGCCCAAGAGGGCCCCAAGACTGCCCCTAGAGGCCCCCAAGACGGCACAGGAGGCCTTTAAGACGCCCAAGATGAGCCTCCAAGACGGCCCTGGAGCATTCCAAGAGGGCCCAAGTCGGCCCATAGAGGCCCCCCAAACGGCTTCCGACGGCGTCAGACGGACCAGGAGCCCACCAAGACAGCCGAACATGGCCCTAAGATGGCGCAAGACGGCCCAGGAGGCCTCCAAGAGGGCCTCCAGGAAGGCCCGAGAAGGCCAAAATCATTGTGGGTGTTTGAAGGATTGTGGCATTTGCTTTTTGTTCTGCCTTCCGACGGCCCGAGACGGCCCAAGTGCCCCCAAAGATCGCCCAAGACGCTCAAGATGGCCTCCAAGACGGCCCAAGAGCCCTCCAAGACGTCCTCCAAGAAGGCCCGAAAGAGTCAAAATGGCCTCCAGACGGCCAAGATGACCTTCAAGATGCCCACGTGTTCCCCGAAGGCTTTCCAAACCGATTCGGGGAACACATGGTCCGATAGCTTGGCAGGTCTGGCCTCAACGTTCGGCCACATAGGCGCTTCCAAAAAGGCAGGGGGCGGCGGTGATTCGCCGTAGGCGTCTTCGATCCGCCGCCCCCTTTTGATTCAAACGGGTGCCTGGCGTGCCGGATGATATGGCTTTTGGTTTGGGTGGGTTCTTTTTCCAAAAGAACTCCTGGGGCTTCGGCCCGTCCCGCCGGGGTCCCAGGAGTCTCTTCCTGTGGTTGCCGTGGGTTTTCCTGCCCCAGACGGCCCCAGGATGGCCCAAGATGGCTTCCAAGATGCGTCCAAGACGGCCAAGATGGCCTCCAAGACGGCTAAAATGCCCCAAGATGCACCCAAGACGGCCCAAGATGCACCCAAGACGGCCTAAGATGGCCTCAAGCTGGCCCAAGACGGCCCCGAAGAGGCCTCCAAGACGGCCCAAGAGGCCTCCAAGAGGGCCTCCAGGAAGGCCAGAAGAGGCCAAAATCATTGACTTTCCATTGGTTTTTGAAGGATGTGTGCCTTTTCGGCTTTCCGACGGCTCAAGACGGCCCAAGAGGCCCCCAAGATCGCCCAAGAGGCCCCCAAGAGGGCCCCATGACGGCCCAGGTGGCCTCCAAGACGGCCCCAAGAGGGCCCCAAGACGACCCAAGAGGCCTCCAACACGCCCAAGATGGCCTCCAAGACGCCCAAGATTTCCTCCAAGACGGCCCCGAAGCGCCCCAAGAGGGCCCCAAGTCGGCCCAGAAAGGCCCCCTAAGACGGCGTCAGACGTGCCAGGAACCCACCAAGATGGCCGAAGTTGGTTCGAAGCTGGCCCAAGACGGCCCAAGAGGCCCCCAAGAGAGCCTCCAGGAAGGCCAGAAGAGGCCAAAAACACTGATGTTCCCTAGGGGTTGTTGACCGATTTTGACACTTGCGTCTTTTCGGCCTTCCGACGGCCCGAGGCTGCCAAAGAGCGCCCAAAGATCGCCGAAAGATCGCCCAAGAGGCCTCCAAGATGGCCCCAGAACGGCCCAAGACGGCCCTAAGAGGCCCCCAAGACGGCACAGGAAGCCTTTAAGACGCTCAAGATGGCCTCCAAGACGGCCCTGGAACATTTCAAGATGGCCCCAAGTCGGCCCATAGAGGCCCCCCAAACGGCTTCCGACGGCGTCAGACGGACCAGGAGCCCACCAGGACGGCAGAACACGGCCCTAAGATGGCCCAAGACGGCCCAAGAGGCCTCCAAGAGGGCCTCCAGGAAGGCCCGAAAATGCCAAAATCATTGATTTTCCGTGGGTGTTCGAAGAATTGTGGCATTTGTATCTTTTCTGCCTTCCGACGGCCCGAGACGGCCCAAGTGCCCCCAAAGATCGCCCAAGAGGCCCAAGACACGGCCCCAAGAGGCCCCAAAGACGGCCCAAGAGGTCTCCAAGACGCTCAAGGTGGCCTCCAAGACGGCCCAAGAGCCCTCCAAGACGTCCTCCGAGAAGGCCCGAAAGGGTCAAAATGGCCTCCAGACGGCCAAGATGACCTTCAAGATGCCCACGTGTTCCCCGAAGGCTTTCCAAACCGATTCGGGGAACACATGGTCCGATAGCTTGGCAGGTCTGGCCTCAACGTTCGGCCACATAGGCGCTTCCAAAAAGGCAGGGGGCGGCGGTGATTCGCCGTAGGCGTCTTCGATCCGCCGCCCCCTTTTGATTTATCAAAGGGGTGCCTGGCGTGCCAGACTAGATGGCTTTTGGTTTAGGTTCTTTTTCCACAAGAACTCCCCCTGGGGCTTCGGCCCGTCCCGCCGGCCACGCGGAAAGGATCTCAAAACGCGTCCGTTGTGCCTCTGTTTCCTCCGGTTGGCCCAAGATGGCGTCCAAGACGGCCAAGATGGTCCAGGATGGTCTTCAAGACGTCTCCAAGACGGCCCAAGATGGCCTCCAAGTCCGCCCAAGGTGGCTCCAAGATGCACCCAAGACGGCCCAAGATGACCTCAAGATGGTCTACTACGGCCCAAGAGGCCTCCAAGACGGCCCAAGAGCCCTCCAAGACGTCCTCCAGGAAGGCCCGACGAGGCCGAAATCATTGATTTCCCTTAGGTGTTTAACAGATTTTGGCATTTGCGCCTTTCGGCTTTCCGACGGCCCAAGACGGCCCAAGAGGCCCCCAAGATCGCCCAAGAGGCCCCCAAGAGGGCCCCATGACGGCCCAAGTGGCCTTCAGGACGGCCCCCAGAGGGCCCCAAGACGGCCCAAGAGGTCTCCAACACGCCCAAGACGGCATCCAAGACGCCCAAGATGGCCTCCAAGCAGCCCCGAAGCGCCCCAAGAGGGCTCCAAGACGGCCCAGAAAGGCCTCCAAGACGGCTCCCGACAGCGTCAGACGTGCCAGGAACCCACCAAGATGGCCGAAGTTGGCTCGAAGCTGGCCCAAGACGGCCCAGAGGCCCCCAAGAGGGCCTCCAGGAAGGCCAGAAGAGGCCAAAATAAAGTTTTTGACGGATTTTGACATTTGCTTCTGTTCGGCCTTCCGACGGCCTGAGACGGCCTTTGCCAAGAGCCCCCAAAGATCGCCGAAGGATCGCCCAAGAGGCCTCCAAGATGGCCCCCGAACGGCCCAAGAGGGCCCGAAGACGGCCCCAAGAGGCCCCCAAGACGGCACAGGAGGCCTTTAAGACGCCCAAGAAACATCCAGGACGGCCCTGGAGCATTCCAAGAGGGCCCAAGACTGCCCAAGAGGCCTCCAATAGGGCATCCAGGAAGGCCCGAAAATGCCCAAATCATTGATTTTCCATAGGTGTTTGAAGGATTGTGGCATTTGAATATTTTCTGCCTTCCGACGGCCCGAGCCCGAGACGGCCCAAGTGCCCCCAAAGATCGCCCAAGAGGCCCAAGACACGTCCCCAAGAGGCCCCCAAGACGGCCCAAGAGGTTTCCACGTCCTCCAAGAACGCCCGAAAGAGTCCAAATGGCCTCCAGACGGCCAAGATG